GAGTCCATCCTCACCTCCTCCATCATCATCTGGTACGCTGCTGCCACTGCCAGGGACAAGGGCAGGCGGCAGCGTGTCGTTCGCTCTGCAGAGAAGGTGATTGGCTGCAATCTTCCATCACTTCAGGACCTGCACGCCTCCAGGACTCTGAGGCGAGCAGGAAAGATTGCAGATGACGCCTCCCATCCCGGACACAAACTGTTTCAGACTCTGGCAAGAGGCTGCGGTCCATCAGGACCAATTACCAACGAAGTATTCTTATATAACTTGCATTTGTTTATTACATATTTATATATTTCTACATCTATTTATGTCAGCTGTATGTCTGTCTGCGTGTAGCACCTTAACACCAAAGCAAATTCCTTGTAAAAGTTCAGATACACTAAAGAGTAAAATGTACTGGCCCACTTCAAGCACTGACTGGGACTCTGATCAAGAATATACACACTGACACTCACAGACAGCTGTGTTTTTGTCACACTGTTACGACCCCGGCTCTCAGGCCGCAACAAAGAAGGATGATGCAACTCAGGTTTACAAAGATTAACATAAATTTATTTAAAACAAAAGACCAGCGTGGCAGAGCAGTGTGGCAGGCGCAAGCACCGACACTGGCGTCTGGGCAGGCAGGTCTAAATAGGTTGGGCTCACTGGCCAGGTGCTCCCAATCTACTTAATTGCCTGCAGGAAGAAACACAGGGCCTCTCCGAAACTGCTTGCTACTCCCTCTACCTACATACTTCCACTCCGTTTGCGCGTTCATGCGGAGGGTCCGCCACATTGAGTGCCATCCGAAACCAATGAGGGCAGAGTGGTAGTGGGTTGTTAAACCCTCAAATGGCGAGACAGCTCCGATGCTGGCTTGTTGAAGGTGTGTACCACCCTTTGCTGCACGATGGGGGACCTTTCTTTCAATTTGGATGTGACTTCGCCGATTAACATGTAGGATTTTTTATTTTGAAACTACACTAACATTGTCACATCACCATTCACAGGTTAACAACATAGCCCATATGATTTATATTGAAATATTGTATTTGTGAATGTAACATTTTTCATAGGCTTTTCTTTACAATGAATATCAAGCTTTTCACAAAAGAATATAATATTTATTTTTCATAAATATATAAAGTCATGTTCGACACAAACACAAAATGAATGACAAATGCTTTCAGTTTCGTTATTTTCGTTATATAAGTTATTATTGTAGGGGATTTTAATATTCATGTGGACGTTGAGAATGACAGCTTTAGTACTGCGTTTATCTCTCTGTTAGATTCCATTGGCTTCTCTCAGAGTGTTCATGAACCGACTCACTGTTTTAACCACACCCTCGACCTTGATTTGGTGTATGGTATTGAAATTGAACATTTAATAGTGTTCCCACAGAATCCCTCTTTGTCCGACCACTGTTTGATAACTTTTGAGTTTGTATTGCTGGACTACACGCCATTGGGCAAAAAATTCTATACAAGATGTCTGTCTGATAGTACTGTAGCTAAATTTAAGGATGCGATTCCATCATCTCTAAATTCATTATCAAATCACAAAGTAACGGAGGACTCCTATGTAATTTCAGTCCCTCCCAAATCGATCATCTTGTTGATGGTGCTGCAGGCTCGCTGCGAATGACACTCGACTCTGTAGCCCCTCTAAAAAAGAAAATGATAAAACAAAGATGGTTAGCTCCATAGTATAATACTGAAACTTGCAAATTAAAGCAAATATCGCGGAACTTGGCGTTCCACCAAATTGGAAAATTCTCGTTTAATTTGGCAAGATAGTCTTAAAACTTATAGGAAGGCCCTCCGTAATGCTAGAGCAGCGTACTACTCGTCATTAACCCCAGGTTTCTTTTCAGCACTGTAGCCAGGCTGACAGAGAGTCACAGCTCTATTGAGCCAAGTATTCCCATAGCTCTCTGTAGTTACGACTTCATGAGCTTCTTTAATGATAAAATTCTAGCTATTAGAAACAAAATTCACCAAGACCTGCCCTCAACTGGCACCAACTTATCTCTAAACTCAGGAACCTTAGAAACAGCAAACCAGATATATGTTTAGACTGCTTTGCTTCCCTCAATCTTTACTAGACTAGGCTGCTTAAAGATGTCTTACCCTTAGTCAGCACTTCTATACTAGATATGATCAATCTATCTCTATCAACAGGTTTATGTACCACAGTACTTTAAAGTAGCTGTAATTAAACCTGTTCTGAAAAAGCCCAAACTTGATCTGGATGTTTTAACCAACTATAGACCTATATCTAACCTTCCATTTCTCTCTAAGGTTCTGGAGAAAGCAGTTGCTAAACAGCTGTGTGACTTTCTACAGAGCAATAGTTTATTTGAGGATTTTCAGTCAGGATTTAGAGCTCATCATAACACAGAGACAGCACTGGTGAAAATTACTAATGACCTCCTCATTGTATCAGACAAAGGACTTGTCTCTGTACTGGTTTTATTAGATCTTAGTGCTGCATTTGATACCATTGACCATCAGATCCTATTGCAGAGACTGGAACATTTCATTGGCATTAAAGGAACCGCTCTAAGCTGGTTTAAGTCCTATTTATCAGATCGATTTCAGTTTGTACATGTTAACGATGAGTCCTCCATGCATGCCAAAGTTAGTCATGGATTTCCACAAGGATCTGTGCTCAGACCAATCCTCTTCACTTTATATATGCTTCCTTTAGGCAATATTGTCAGGAAATATTCCATAAGCTTTCATTGTTATGCAGATGATACTCAGTTATATCTATCGATCAAGGCAGATGAAACTCATGTGCCTTCATGATGTTAAAACCTGGATGACCTGTAATTTTATAAATGTTAAACTCAGATAAAACTGAAGTTATTGTTCTGGGGCCTAAGCACCTCCGTGACACATTATCTAAAGATATAGTTTCCCTTGATGGCATCGCCCTGGCCTCCAGCACCACTGTGAGGAATCTTGGAGTTATCTTTGATCAGGACATGTCGTTTAAGTCTCACATTAAGGAAATTTCAAGGACCGCCTTTTTTCACCTACGTAATATTGCGAAAATCAGGAACATCCTGTCTAAAAATTATGCAGAAAAACTACTACTCTAAGTTACTAACTCAACTACTCCCCTTTCCGGTAGTCTTGTGCTTTCTCGTCCCTCTCCTCTCTCCTCCTATCACTTCCTGCAGGTGTTTCTGGCTCTGGAGCTGTGGAGTCTGGATCTGTGGCTGCGGGTCACCTGCTGCCCCCGTGTTCCTGCTTGACACCCTCTGCTACAACTATTGTTACTAGTCCTATTGTTATTATTGTTATTATAATCATTAACATTGTGATTGTTATCATTAACACTACTATAAATATCTGTACCATTTTTCATTTAGTCTATAGCAACATTACCTTTACTGTCTGTACCTTTGTGTATGTATTGTGTAGGCTGCCTCTCTCTCTCTCTCTCTCTCTCTCTCTCTCTCTCTCTCTCTCTCTCTCTCTCTCTCTCTCACCCCCAACTGGTCGAGGCAGATGGCCGCCCACCGTGAGCCATGGTTCTGCTCGAGGTTTCTGCCTTTTAAAAGGAAGTTTTTCCTTGCCTCTGTCGCCTAGTGCTTGCTCTTGGTGGGAACTGTTGGGCTTCTGTAAATAGCATCATAGAGTACTGCTCTTTTATGAAAAACGCTGTGAGATAACTGTTGTTGTGATTTGGCGCTATATAAATAAAATTTAATTTAATTGAAAAGTGAAGCTCGGTCTCTACCTGTCCTGTGTCACACTGGGAGTCTTTCCTCTTGAGGTAGCCAGCTCTGTTCACTTTATCTGTTTTTGAAGCATATTAAATGGTGTGACATTAATTTTTGTTTCTTTGTCTAATTTTTACAACTTACCCAGCATGTGTTACAACCTACCCCGGTATTGGGGTAGGTTGTAACAAAGGAACACCATGTATTTTACATCAACTTATGATATCTGTGATAATCTTACAGAGGGTTGAATTGGCAATTGTAGTGCACAAAGTTTGAGAACTGTAGCTAAAAAAGTCAGCAAGTTATAGTTGCTGAAGCAAAAAGTGTTACAACCATACCCGGTCTCCATAAATTATTCCTTTACAGTTTCAACGCTTTTTATGCAACGCTTTTAATGCTAACAGCTGTTTGCGGTAGTGTCATTTTTTTCCGATACATGAAAGTGGTATTAATCTACCAATCTAAAGCTCTGCCAGATAGCAAATAAGTGTTTTTTCCCATAATGTCAAACTATTATTTTAATAAAAATACTAATTAGTGCACATCTAATATTCTTTCAAATACAATATATCTGTCATGTAATGCTTATAGAGAATACTTTGCCTTCATCATATTATGAATAAGCTTAAACACATTGTTATCATTTTCCTTTTATAATTAATTGATGGGGCTCTGTTTACACTTAACTGTGAGAGTAACCCACCCTATTTCCTAAATAAATCACTTCCTATTATACCGAGGTTTGTTTTTTGAAGGTGGAATGGTCACCAAACCAGTTTAACTTGATCTCTTTGTGTATGCCATGATGTATGTGTGTGTCTGAGTGTGCATGCACATCCACGTGAATAATAAAGAACAGAACAGCTTGTGTTCAGAATCTGTCACTTTGATTTTTTAAGTCTGCTTGTTATTTCTTACTTTAGGCATTTATTTTGTTTTTTGACAATAGGTTTGGGTGCAATATAAGCACAGAAAAGAAAAGAGCTCCCTTGACTGGCTGCACTCTAAGTGAAAGAATACATAATTGTTTAGTTGTGTCAGAGAAGTTTAAATTGCTTTATTGTAGACAATGCTAGAGGCTTATATATCCAAAAACAAACCTCCTGAACATTTATCTGATCTAACTTTATACTTTTGTCTCCTTTCCCATTTCTGGCTCTCTTTCTCAGAGGCATTCATACACAGAAACGCACACACACACACACACACACACACAAACTATTTGCACTACTCACTTGTAGGCTATAAGAAGAGTCAAACTTGTCCTGCCCTCTTCGGCAGCAGGGGGGAGTCAGCTACCGTCACCTGTGTCATCGTCACACCCATCAGCAGTTTACTTGTACACCTGTGTCTCAGGTGTCAGGAGAGAGAGAGAGAGCGTCTTAAAACCGGCACCTGAAGGACTCAAGCTACAAACAAGATTTGGTAAGAGATTCGGCTTTGATTTCATGTGATTGTCATTTTATTTCCTGGCCAAGTCTGTCTGCAACCTAAAGGATATTGTTGTTACTATTCCTGTTGATTGATATTTACTCTTATTTAAGAGCAAATGAAGAGCACTAGGGGTACATTTATTATATAATAGCAGGCCATACAATAACAGACCAATGCATTGGAAATCTTTTAAGTAATCTCTTATGGTACCATACTGTGGTCCTATTTGTTGTATGAGTGTGCAACAACATGCCGTTTAGGGATTTGAACCATGGGAATAGTAAATTCTGCCTCATTAAACTGGGTTAGAGTGCCTGTATCAGTTACTCTAAAAAGGGGCAGTCTACTTACGGAATATCTAATAAAAGAGGTGACTTCCTAAATAACTATTAAAAAGAATAATACAAAGAATAATAAATCCATTACAGGAAATCCCGCTGACAAAATGAAGTTGATAAAATGAAAAGGCTACATTTCTTAGTGAGCAAACAACAGCAGGAGAAGCAAACATGGAGATGTAAAATAGAAACACCACAATGTATAATACTACTCCTTTACCAGTGATAATGCAAGTATTGAATGCAGTATTTATAGTATATTCATAGTTTAAAGATGACTATATGTTTATTATGTTAATTGTTTTGTAACTGTCAAATAAATCATAGTGACATGGAGTAAGTAAGTTTTAAGAGAGAGAGAGCGAGAATACATACTGTGTATGAAATAGCATTATTATTACAATCAAATAGTCTGTCAGTGGAGATGGGAGATGTTGGGTGCTAAAGCGTTGTGGAGTCTGAGGGCGAATGGCACAAATGAGGCCCCTAAGTGCTTTGACGCGTAGGGCTGGAAAAAGTCGGTGGCCTTTCAGAAGATTTGCATTCCAGTCTTGAACTGTAATCTCTCTTTGGAGAGTTTGTAAAATAAATTCATAAGATAAATCCAACTACTGAATACTGAATGTATTCTAGCTAGATATAGAAAAAGATAATAAGGAAGGGTAGATTGCCCTCGACTATGGGGGACTGTGTTGTCCCCTGAAGAACTAAAACATTTGCTCAGTCTGCCTTTTCTTTTAAGGCAATTAAAAATGGAACATGTAATCAGTAATTTTAATTTTATCATGGGAATTACTTTTGTAATTGTTATGTTGTTGCTTGAAATGTGGAGGTGAAAATGCTCACATGGGACTGGGGATAAAAATTTGCTGTTTAGCTATATGTCTGTACAATGCAACGGATTTCAATTTGATTATTCTCATCATGTTCATGTCATATGACCAACTTAGCGCAATAAAATGCTTTATCTTCACTTGTTAGACTTCTTAGTGGCATTTCAAAGAGTTTCAACTGTTGCTACATTTGTATGGCGTAAACAGCAGAGTTTTGTGTTTCTAGTTCATTACAGCAATATGAGTGATGCAGCAGACAACAACAACAGCAATAATAATAATAATAATAATAATAATAAACTGACACAAACTCAATATCCCTTCAGGGTTTGAACCCTAATGAGGGCATTAGCAATGAATAGCATAGTCTTTCCTTTCTTTCTTTTCATGTGCTGGTTTTCTTTATATTCATTGTTTGAAGGTGAATGGTGTAGAGTTTCAGCATTCCTTCCACTGATGCATCTATTGTTTCAAAAGCCTTGTATCACTATGTAAAAGGTCATGTTTTGGTCTGTAAAATATCTGATAGCCACTCCCTGATTCCTGTATGCCACAAAACCCACAGGCTCCAACCTTTATTTATATTAGCATTGAACAGCAATGACAGCAACTGGGAAAAATGATCTGACTAAAAACACATAAAAAGCCTATTTATGTAACATATTAAGCTCTGAGAGGCCATGATTTCAAAGGTGGCTTGCCTCATCATGCTCTATGCTGTCCTTTTACCAAAATCAATGATGATGTAATATCAGAATATCTTGAGTTAAAAGAGAATTATGTGATTTCAAATTCTGCTCGCTTTAATTGGAATAAGCATATGTTATTGGGACTTTAAATCCTCCCTTTAGTTCTGATGTGCGAGTTGGTTTAGTGGCTGACTGGGTCACCTGCTTTCTCTGATTCCCTCCCCAGTGAATTTCACCACAAAGCCCTCTCTTCCCATGAGACTTGTCACATCATGAGATCACGAAACCTCTTCCTACTGGTTTACTTACTGGGGAGCTGCTTTGGTAAGAGCGGATTTTGTGTCTTTCCTCTAACTTATAAGTGTCAAGATACACATCCACACTTAAAGGACAAGGCTGGTGATATTCTAAATTTCTGTCATTGTCAACAAATCATTAAAAAAACAAAACCAATGATGAATTGATTTAAAAAGCGTATCCAGAGCCTGCTGTTTACTCAAAATGAATTACAGTGAAGGATTATGTTAGCCAGTGCTACAGGATGCTTCTCATGTGTTTTAATGTTTAATGAATTTTTGGACAGCAATGGAGCTCTATCAAGGAATAAACTACTATATTGGACTTCGGATACACATACAATACTTGTGAGATGGGTTAATATACTGCTGGTTTGGTCTTTTCACTGGATTTATTGACAATGTGAAAATCATACAATATTGCCAAGATTATCCTTCACCTCAAAACCATTTTACAGCTGCTACATGTACTTTTACTTTCTGGGCCCATTTCGTTATGCACCAGTATGTATTTCCAATATAAATACAGACATCAATATCATTATCAAGGTTTTGGATGAGCTTCTTTTCTAGATTGACCATTTTGACATTCAACATTCATACAAGAAGACAGACATTATTTTATATCTTATTAATTAATAAAAGTGTCGTAAATGTGTCCAAATCTAGTTTGAGTGATTCAAATTCTAAGGTCACACTTAACAATGAATATTGTCTTTTCCCAACAGAGACATCAGGCACACAAAGGTAAGATCAGTAAATTTAAATAACACACATCATTTTTATTACAAAGCCAATGGAACATTAAGTATTGTAAAGACTTAACCCTGATCTAAATTTAATTGATTTAACTTATATCACTAAATGCTTATCTTGTTGATTCAACGATGGACATCTACAGATATGAAACCTGCACTACAAGAGAAACCTGCGGCCAGGTGAGTGAAGCTGTCACATACTGTACTATGTTCTATCTAATTGTACTTAAAGGCAAAGGCTAAAGATAAATTCTACCCCAAAACTGTTTTACAAGTCCTGTACCTGTTTTCTTCTGAGTATGTTGATGAATCTGGATTTAGGATCATAATCAAATCCCTCCTAAAGCTACAGGTTGTCACATAGCATGTTTTTGTTTTTGTTATTCAAAGCAGCTGACATTTTAAATCAAGTCTTCTTTCAGTGTCAGCAGACCTGAACAGACAGATATGATCAAAACATCAGGTAGTCCACAGGCGTGAACTGCATAACAGAAACACAGAACAAAACTGTATATATTTTGCGCGCAGTGATGATTACCAGTGTGGTAAAGCCTATCATGTGACGATTTGGTAAGGCTATCAAAGGCAATGCAAGTTGTTGAGAGTGTTGATACCGTCTGACTTTTCACCATAGTACACAATTTTGAAAAAAGCACCAGAACATGTTAGGACATGATTTAGGTAATTAGGAGTGTGTGTTGACTTTTAATAAAATGTGTCTTATGACCAACATCCTGTGAACAAAGAAAGTAGACACTTGCTGAAATATCATATAGTTATTTACTTGTAATAGCAGGAAAAGCACAGGTGTTATTAATACCACTAACGAACTAACGATGGTTCTGGTCATTTAAGTGTATCACTAGGCCATGTCAGTGAGCCTGAGTGGATATGGTAGTGCCCAGGAACCGTTAAAGCTAAAGCGATGGTAGTCATATTTATATTATTAATTACATATCCTGCTATGAAATTTCAAATTGTCTGCTGTGAAAATTCCTATTGTGTGTTTCTGTTCACGCTTTGTCTACCGAAATGGAAAAAAAACATCAATAAAGAATTTAGTGTACTTCAGTACAGTGCAGTCCGTGCTCAGAATGAAGACAAACTTTATTTGGAAATGCAGACATTCAAACTCTGCATTCAAAACACATTTCATGAGGATTAATTGCTTTAAACAATCACGTTTCTCTCTTTCATGCCTCTCATGTTCTATTTTACTGAATGTGAATGTTGAGAATTAAGGGTGTTATTTCTGGTAAATTAATTAGGCTATACTGCTAGCTTAGCTAGGTTAATGGCCCATGTTTATACATGTTCCTAGGAAATTGTCAGTATAATTGTTTGGTCAAAGAGTGGCCTGAATCCAGCATGCTTGGTACCAGATAAATAATGAATGACGAACCAAAATAGGCTCTTATATACTTAGGCAGATTTTCAGGGGCACCTCTTACATTGAGCTAATTAGCCCACGTGAGACAAAGACTGCGCTTCCAAATCTTGCTGAATTTGCAGCCATGTTTGGGCCAATTTGTTGTCATAACACAGTCGAGAATCAGCCACAATCTTCCTTGGCTGAATGGAAACATACTGACAGAATATGTTCCCACGTTGACTTCACATTGTGACGCAGATTGTACATGTTCATCAGTAATGTCTGTATATGAGAACCAAAATTGTTGTTGTCTAACCAAAATAATGAGTTGTCTAACTTCAGTATGCCTGGTTGATGTTGATGTTGATCAACGCCCCGTAATCAGCTATAGCATTTGGTCAGATACCTTTGGTCACATCTGTACAAATGCTAGCCTAACGTGGACCTAATAAAAAAAGAAGTGGATGAAATAGGAATTTGGCATGTATGGGGCAGAGTTGACTCACTTTCAGTGCAGGAACAAGGCCGAGTACACAATGAGGCAATCTGTCACCATATGCCCTGGCTTCTTGAAAGCTTACATAATAACTTACAAAATAGCACATTACATTCCAAAATGTTATGATTATAGAACTCCAATCAGTTTTTGATGTCTGAAAATATCTACAATAAAGATAAATGTTTATTTGGAAAGAAGCTTAGTCCAAAGTAGGGTTTCAGCTTGTCTTATGTCATATCGAATTGTTTTCACATTGCTCATCTTTTCCTTTTGTCATTTGTTCCAAGGGGCCAGATTCTACCTCGCAGTTCCTACAATGTGTGGGACTGCCATCGACAGATACAGGGAGAGACCACATGCGGAGGCTGAAAGGAATGCTTGAAGCGACAATGGATTTGTACACATTCATGGTATGACTCAAAAAACAGGACAGGGATGTTCACGGCACACGACAGAAGGAATGTTGTCACTAATTCTGACCTGACCGGTTGGTCCTGTTTGTTTTGACTTGCAGAATGTGACAGATTAGTGGTGTGGTGACTTTTCTTGAAGACTATTCCTTGAATGTTAAATGTCACATGGATTAGTGGATTTGCTTTCACACACACCCTGCTCTCACCATTTGATTTTGTTTAATCTCCTCCACCACAGAGGTCCAGCATGACGGGAGTGCCACTTCTCAGCCTGCAGGGGGCTCTGGCTTTAAACCCTGGAGCAGACCCTCTCCAGAACGAAGCCCTGGTCCAGATGTGGATGGAGGTGAAGATAAAACCGTTGTTGAAATCTATCACCAAACACTTCCTGTCCTGCCTCAGCACCAAGAACTTCAGCTGCTCCACCTACCAGACTGTGTATGTTTGAGTGTCTTCAGTCTACCTGCCTGTTTCTGTAACCTTTGTTACAACAACTTCTCACCATCCTATCTCTTCTTGCAGGGTGAGGGAGCTCAGTTACCATTATTCTGAGATGAATCCAGTCACACAAAAGTGGATCTACACATTCTTTATGTACCCATTTCTGTCTGGAGACAGAGTAGATGGTAAAACTTTTACGATTTTAATCAAACTTTATAATGAACTTGAACTGATTCGGAGTTTGTTGTTGTAATAGCTCCAGCAACACTTACAACAATATTTTTAAAGGACACATTAAGCTTTTCTGTGTGGAGTTTGCATGTTCTCCCCATGTCTGCGTGATGGAGAAACCCTGGTGATCCAAAAACATGCAGGCTAGGTTGATTGGTATCTCCAAAATTGTCCTTAGGTGTGAGTGGTTGTTTGTCTATGTGTGGCCCTGCAATGGACTGGCAACCTGTCCAGGGTGTACCCCGCCTTTCACCCAATGTCAGCTGGGATTGGCTCCAGCCCCCCGTGAACCTGTACGCAGGATAAGTGGTTGACGACGGATGGACATTAAGATTTATTAACTTGCAAGATTATTTATCTATTCTGTATTTGTGTATATGTAGCTACATAGCTATATGTTCACTCAGTGTGTGCAATCTTTGTATAGGTTGTGTGAGCAAAGAGGAGAGCAGTGAGGAGTGGTTAATGAAGAATTTTGGGGCCTTCAGAGCCATGGCCCAAATGGACGACCTTTCAACACTCAACATGGCCTTCAGTGGAGTGAGTTTTTCTTCAAGATTTATAGGATTTGCAACCTTGCAGCAACAGATTGAAGAGAGTTTTTGTTTTGTTCAAGTGAAACAGTGTAGTTTTAAGTCCATCACTGCACTTATAGCCAGTACACAGTACATTGCTTTGTCACACTTCTACCTAAATCTGACTTTCTTGTCCTCCTTCTCTCTCCTGGTCTTCCTTGTTTTTTTCTCCGCCACAGTTGGAGGTTCTTAACCTGCTGTCTCCAGCGCAGAAGGCCAAGCTGCTGATGAGTCCTGGGGTCGCAGGTTTAGACAACGACACCCTCACCCTAATCTTTCACGGTTTGTTGACAGGGGACTCTGGCCCTTCCCCCACAAACATCTCTGGAGGGGGCCAATCCTGGACGAGCCCTGCTTATCCTCCTGCCTATACTCCACAGCCCATGTATAACCCATACTCACCACCATCCCCGCACAACAAGCTCAGAGAGGTACTGTGATGTAGCATGGTTGTATTGACACTGCCAGGTCTTTAATGCAATAAAAATCACCTATCACAATTAAAATGCATTAAAATGCATGTTAGATATTATTTGTTTAATCAGTCGAAGTATTGCTTTAACCTTAACTAACAGCTGATGTCTATCTGTTGGATGTCTAAATAAGCAACTGTTGCAACTGCTGACCTGTTCATCATTTCATGGCCAAAAAAAAATTGTTAATGCAGGTTTAAAGACACATATGCGATATTTATTTAGGCCTATTACTGTATAGGGAGAAAACCACAAGTTCGAGAAGTTAAGATGTTCCAAGCAAAATGGTGAAGTCTTTTCATCTAATTTAAACTCTCCTCTTTTGTCACACACAGGTTGTAAATGGGTTCATGACGGCTTTCAGACCCATTGGGAGCTTTGTTCATGACTTTGTATCTTTCACAAAAGAGGTACAAGCTCTCACACATAAACACACATGCACACAGACTGCGTAAATTGACGTGCAATACACCTGCCAAATGAATTGACTCCTGACCTGCTGTGTTCCTCCAGAGGAATGAAATAAAAAGCAGCACTCTGACCCAGTTCCTGCTCAACTGGACTCTAGCTGAGCTGGCAGACATGTACCGGCCACAAACAACACCTGTAGTTCCAGAGACGCCACAGTTTGACGTGACAAATGTGGAGGACTGGTACCAGCAGGTCGTGTTGCCCATATTACAGAGTTTCTTGCCGAATGGCGAGGCCCTGATGCATCAAAACATCACACTTGCCTTCCACCAGCTGTTGTAAGTCAAGCTAACATTTATGATTAGTATTCTTCATTTTTGAGTATCCATCTATTATTTTTTATTTAGGATAGAACTAAGTGGGAAACAACCGCATTAAATCTTAATAATTTTTAGCCCTTTTTAGTTAAAGGGGCTACATGTAAGTTTTTGATTTTAATAGATCAAATTTTCATTGCCTTATTGTCAATGGGCTCAAAACTCACTCAGAAATAAAGCACACGCCTGTTTTCACCGTTGCTTGCATCAGCCACTATTCTGCTTTTAATGTGGGGACTCCGGGTCAGATTCAGCCCTGTGTTCGCTCTCGAGCCTCTCTCTGACTACAGCAACAACGCGGCAGCTAACGACATGTAGTCCACTAACATTATAAAACACAGGCTCCACGTAAGGATCCAAAACAACAATAACGGTTTATGTGCTGAAGCCCATCAGACCAAACAGGTTCAGAATGATGTCGAGTAAGAACAGTGTTACTTTCCTGTGTACCACCAGTATTATGTCAAAGTGTTGATTTAGCCTGCAAGAAATGATGTAATGGTAAAAAGTAAATGTGGAGCGATTTGTTTACTATCCTATAATGATGCAACCAGGAGCAGCCAGCTAACGCTACAGTAGTTCCGACCTGCCGCTGTTTGCTTCATAACGTTAAATTTAGATTTATTGTGCTTTTACCGATACTCAGATACACAGCTTCTCCACCTCTCAGTCGCTGTAACTAACGTGACCCACATAATATAAAATACTGCAACATAACGGTCACAACAACACAGGACGAACACTAAAGTAAAGTTACTTAGTGCGGTCAAACTGCGCTGCTGTTGATCTGCCTCTGAGACGGGAACGTTTGAAGTAACAGAGCCTGAACCTGTCTGTGTGAAAAGCAACAGCCGGCATGCAGGTGTTTCTGCATTTATTGCAGGATTTCTGTATAAAGGGGTTGTGTTTTGGATTATGCTCACTCACGAGTTCAACCGAGCACGCATATGAGCACACGCCTGGTTGCAGTTTTAAAACTGCACCGCTAGTGGCCAAAACTCCATAATGCCCCTTTAATTGATTCAGTTTTACTGCACTGTTCAGTCTCCCACAGCAGTTGTTTTCAGCAAAAAGAAGCTGTACGCAACAAGCCAATCACCATACTGCACATAATCAGAGTTAGCAACTAGCTAGTGAAAATAGTGGATCATCTAGCAAATATCCTGATATATTTCTCAGGAGTTGGTGGAGACCAAAACAGAGCTAAAAGGATAGTGAATATAGGATTAATATTTCTCAGGTAATCAGAAACATGACCCAAAATGAATGCTAATGTTGTTCATGTCTTTTAAAAGGCAATGGATAGCTAACCTAGCTTGTTGTGAAGTTCTTTTGCCCATTAGTGAGCAAAAATCAATAAATGCAGCTTTAGTAAGTGCATCTCACTCAATCAACTCCCGGTCAGTCAGTATGTTTCTGTGTTGAAAGATGGTGTATTATATTGTCTTTTGAATGTAGATTTGTCTCTTGTTTGTGTGCAGCTATCTGAACCATAGTATGGACAATGAAACCTCTGAAACCATGGATGTCTGTAGCATCACTCTTGATAAGAGCCCTTGTGGGGTGAGACTTCATTTTATTTTATTTTGATATCATTAATAAAGTTTGAATCTTTCGAATTTTTATTTAAACTTACGTGAGCTTTCCTTGTTGCCTAAATTTTACTTATTTCTTACTTAAGTAATGTTAAAGAGATACTTGTCATCACATAATTTTTTCTTCCTAACAGCTGACAGACGCAGTGGAAAATGTTGCTTATGTTTTGCACTGTGCTGCTATTACTAACTTCACATTGTCCGAGGCGACGATCATCAGATTGATTGTGGAGCTGACAGAACGTCTGAACTCACTGATCAAAGAGTTGTCCACTGGAGTAAGTCTGTCTGTCTGTCTGTCCATCTGTCTGACTAATTGTCCATCCTTCTTGTTCATTGTGTCCAACCCTAACCTAAGCTTTTTTTTACCTGAGTGTTTATAAACGCTTGTCTATGGTTAGTGACTGTATTATTGTAATGAGTCAACTAATCGGGTCTTGTGTTTCAGATTTTTTGGTGGTGTTTTTTGTTTTATTGTTTTATTTATGTCACAAACTGTGCCTTTTAAAATATTTACTTGAGAATAACCTGTCAATCAAGATTTAAATTGAGGTTTTTAAAGCTGAATATAACAAACCAAGATGGACACACTGCTTTTAACATCCGCAGATAGTTAGAGACAAACAAAACTTCCACCATAAAACTTGAATAATGCTAGGAAGAACTTCATGGCCACTAAGACTACTCTGCAGCTTTACAAATTCTAGCTCCTAACTGGGAGACACATCTTTACTGTACACTACTTTATGTGTTTGTTTTTCCATTTCATTTTACTACAAATTTAAATTAAATAAATAAATAAAAAACACTTATTCCTTACTCTTTTCCTCCTTTAGAACTTCAGTGAGGTGGTGTCCGACTTTAAGCAGATCTTTGGTGAGGCAGACTCTCCGTCTCTGACCCAGCAATATCTGGAGGACCCGAACTTCATCAAGCTCTGGTTTCAGATCAAACTGATGCCCCTCTTGCCTGACATACCTACAGACCTCCTGTCCTGCCTCAGCACCAAGAACTTCTCCTGTCCAGTATACCAAACCATGTGAGTTTACATTTACATTGTAGGGACTTTGTCCCCATAAGGATGGCCCAACACCCCCCCCCCCACACACACACACACACACACACACACACACACTGTATGGTGTATTAAATGTTTTCTTTTTTATATATGTGCAGTGTGGCAGCTCTCAGCAAACAGATGAATTTTATGGATGCTGATCCAATTTACAGTCGTAACATCTATGAGTACTTCATCTATCCTTTCCTGCTGCATCACAACACCTCTGGTAAGTAAACTAATAGCAGAAGTAGCAGCCTTTAAAATTGACAACAGAACAGCAGAAATGTGTTTTTTTCACTTAAAATAAACGCCAGATTTTATTTATTCTGCAACTGCATAAAAATCTTAACAAGACATTTTGGCAAATACTAGATGGATGCAAGTCTTACTTATTGCAAAAACACTACATGACTCACCCAGAAGAGTCCTCTTCTGTTTCTGCAGTGGTAAAGGAATCATTCAGAATTTTTTTCATGTAAAAGTAGTAATACTACAGTGTAAAAGACTCAAAGTGTTTTGTGCATTTTAATGTGGTCCAACGCACTGTATTTTAAAAGAAGAAGATACTTTTCAAGAAGATACTTGAAAGAAGCCGATCATAATGTTTTGTATGTAAGGTCTAGGTTTATAAAGTAACTTCACTTGTCAATAAATGTACTGGAGGAAAAGTTTAAAGTAACATGAAATCGAAATACTCGGGTACAGTAGTAAGTACAGTTCTTGAGTAAATGGGCTTAGTTATTTTCCACAATGGTGTTTCATATCTTTGCTTTCTCTTTAAAGTGAATACAAAATAATGTCAAGACAAAGGGTTTACACATGCTGTTCATTTTTAAATATACATTAATTTTATACATATTTGTTTCAGACCCCCAGTGTTTCTCCTCAGCCAATCACAGTGCAAAATGGCTGACATACAACTTTGGTTTCTTCTCAAGATTTGCCTCCATTATTGACTTCTACAACCTCAACCCAAACTTCTCTGGAGTAAGTCTGAAAACCTGACCGGCTGAAAGGCTCTAAAAGTGACTTAACTGAAGACTTTTTATTGTAAATAATTTCTTCTCTTTTATCTTTTGTGCAGCTGGATGTTCTTTACATCTTGACTCCAACACAGATAGCAGAGATGCTTCTGTTGCCTCTTCCTACTCCACCTGAGAAAGACGTTGTTATCGACCAAGTGTTTGACTTCCTATTGGAGTCCCCTGAAGACTGGAAACTTCTGGAGGTCCTGTACGCGCTGGTCCAGCTCGCCCCAGAGGTAACAGCTTTGTAATGCTACAGTACCTTTTATAGCTTTTATAAAAGTTTTGACTGTCCTGGATGATTATTAGTAAGCTATTTCATCTCTCAGGTCAATCCACCCTGTGGCGTCTACAAACACATGTGAGTACTTTCAAATGGTTTTGTAACTTACCGCTGTGTCTCATTGTACTGACAAATGTTGTGTCTTTACATTAGGCCAGTAGACCTTTTTCATAGCAGACAATTTGACGTGTCAAACACAAGTGTAACTGATAACAACTAAAATGATTGCAGTGGAATTGTTGGAACCAAATGATCATTAATGTTATTAGTTCCACCTGTACTTTTGAAAGCCACAAAGTCTCCTGTTAATCTGATTCATTTGGGAGCAATAACTAGAGTGCTCCGATGTTTGCACTCAGTTTTAGGCGATTATGTTGCCTTAGATTGGGGAATAACTTGCTTTCCAGTTAAATGGGTTTTTTTTTGTTTTTTTCCATTTGTGTGGCAGTTTTCAAAGATTGTACGGAGCTATACAATTTCTGCCACCAGACGTGGAGCCTGTCATCTGGGATGTCATAGATAACTTGATGAACATCGCTCCAGGGGGTCAGTCTTCACACACACATACATGATGACTTCTTGTTTGGATTTTTTTTGGATTGTGTTTTATGTGTATTACAATTGTTATCATGTGCACACAATAGATGACTTAATATTTTTTATGTTTTGATTTGAACAGAGTGTGTGCCTGAGAACATCACGGTGAGATTTCTTTACATTTGCTTATTTATAACTTATATTTCCATTTGATCTATTTTACCTGCATGTTGTAGCTCATTTTTCAGTTTTTCTGATCAATTATTTTAATGTTCCTTAAAATATATTAAACCTGTCATTCACAGTGCCCAGTCACCCAGTACAATGGTAAGAGCTTTCTGACACATCTCATTTAATTACTCATTATGTTATGTTAAGTGCTTATAGAGCTAAAATCATTTGAGATTTTTTTTTCTCTGCTGTTTGACAGGTACTAACATCTGCAGAGGAACTGACAGGTACCCCATTTGTTATCATTTGTATCCAAAATTAGAGATTACTGTTTCAATAGTCTCTGTATTGAACTGTATGTGTTTTTTATTTCACAGCTCTGACCTGAACTCTTACTTGAACACATATATGAACGTTCCCTGCAATTTTACCTTGGAGACATATGCATGTGCACAGGTGACTAATTTAAGAGTCAACATCGAAATACAAGGATTTACTTTTCTGAGAACAGCTTCTATGCAACATGCTCTTTTAGTCATTTGGCTAAATTTGCTAAATTACCACTTACTGTCTCACACATACAGCTGAAGAACTTCACAGCCAATCAGCTGGTGTCTCTTCTGAAGTGTAATCTACCTGGAAACAGCAGCTACTCCAATGTGCTGTGGAAGATGCTTCTGACTAAGCTATCCTTTATCTTGGACCCAGCTCTGGACATCCTAGCTAACACAGTCAGTATATTTTAACCCACTGATGAACGTACACATCTTCAACGTCTCTTCCAGATTATTAAAGTAAATAATTCAAAAGTAACAGCTCGAATACATAGAATCCATAATGATTCAGTCAATTGATCTCCTCTACAGCCCTCGACCATGCTTCCATCAGCATCAGAGGTTTTGGATGTGATTGGAGAAATGAGAGTGTCGATACTGACTAATGAGCAGCTGATGAACAGCAGTGTCATCAGAGAGTGGTTCTTGGGCCGTCTGAGTGTGTTCCTCCCGTCTGCATCATTAAGGTTCCTGGACTGTCTGAGCCGCAGGAATCTCAGCTGTCAGTCATACCAGCAAATGTAAGTGATTGTCCACAGACTTCCTGAACTTGCACCACAGATCCTTATTCATAAAAACATGCATTACTAAGTTTCAGGTTCCATTGAATCTTTCTATTAATGGTGAATGTGACACTAGGGATGTTAGTATCATTTAACATGCTCTACTCTAACTTGCGTTAATATGTTTAAGATAATAAAGAAATGTGCACTTAAACTGCCTAGATAGCGGTGGATCTTCTGTGCTGACCTCATGCTACACTACTGGGTGGAACCAAATAGTCCAATCAACAAAGGCATTTTTTAATTCTGTAAACCCACTTTTGTGTCTGGCATATCAGATCTAAGCCTTTTTCTCCATAGCTAATAGCCAATTATTTTAAACGTACAGTAGGTTTGATCCCCCATTATATCTCACCCCAACATGCTGATCTAACAGGACCTAATCAATGTTTTTATGTTGTGTTCTGTTGCTCCCAAGTGGCAAAAATTTAATAAAATCAATTATTAGAGGTTTAATGAAGTAAATTCATGAGACATTTAAAGTTCATATGAAGTATCAGAAGTTCAGCTGATGGAAGTGAAACAAATTAAGCCTGAAGTGAATGTCAGCCCGACAAGCTGAATCTGAGATGTACATAGCCACCATACAGTAGTTTACAACGTGGCCTCTCAATGTGGCATCACTTTCAGGCCAAAATGTGTTTATGTATGCCCCACTGGTGAATGGATCTAAGTATAGCAGAGTTGTGTCACATCCATCCAACAATTTTGTTCTTGAGTGTGTAGACCCTTTTTATCATTCAGTTACCCACAGACAGATAAAAACATTTCTGTCTTTTTTTATTTTTAGACTGAAGGTATTTATCCAACATTTCGATGACATGACCTCAAAGCAACATAATGTGGTCTTGAAGTACTTCATCCTCAGTTTCCTGTCGCACTCAGGTAATATATGAATGACTATATGACTTTTTAAACTTGGATGGACTTAAATGTTGAAAGGTGTTTTAGCATTTACAGATATCTCTTTGTCCTCATGGCTTTGTCCAGGTTCAGCCTGTGTGTCTGCCTCCAACGGCAGTGCAGAGTGGTTGATGAAGAATCTGGGTCCGTTTTCAATGTTTTTGTCCCTCAAAGAGCTGCTTCTTCTCAACCCGTACTTCAACCCTGTAAGATTTAGTTTCTGCTCACATTTCTACTAACAAGCATTACCTTGTTATTTTCAGCAACAAGTAAACTTTATTTTGCTCCCTCCCTTCCATTCAGCTGGACGTCCTACAACTCCTGACTCCAGCACAGATTGCAGAGATGCTGGTGTTGACTATTCCTACTCTTCCAGACAAAGATGTCATCATAAATACAATCTTTGATTACCTGACTGAGTCTCCTGACAAATTTCCAGAGTTTCTGTCCTACCTCGTTATGTTCCTTCAGCAGGTAAAAAGAGTAACATGATTCATATTTATTCAAGATTTACACTTTGCCTTGTTTGTTGAAAGTAAAAATCTGTGTTTCTTGTATTCAAAGGGAAACCTTACCTGTTCATCATACAAAACTCTGTGAGTTCATATATAAATGTATATGCTTATTTCAGATTTTATATTGATTCATCTATAACTAATTATATGAAATATAAAATTGTGATGTTAATCACATGTTGTTGTTTCAGGTTTAGCAGACTGGACTTGGCCATGGCCACAGTCTCTCTTGATGTAGCATCACACATCATGTACAGCAAGACTGTCTTATCCATGCACATACCACCAGGTTATTACGTAATGTAAACTTATTACTGAAATGAGCATTTTAACACATAATTTCTGAACTATGCCATAAACTAATTTGCATTTACTTGTGCTTTAATCACAGGTTGCATCATGTACAGTGGAGAGGTAATTAAATTCACATTTTCACATTTTTGTTTCTGAATATTGTTGGTGTCATGTTGGTTTTATGATAGAAGACTCATGCCCATCTTAATCTTTTTCTCACCCAAGTGCAATATTATCATGACAAATGGTAAGTTCTCTCACCACTTACAAAAATGTATTATAAAATAATTTTATATTATAATGTTAATAACCACCATGAATTCATTTACTCTACCACAGAAACAGACATTTGCATCGGAGTGAACAGGTGGGATTTATATATTTTTCATCTTACTTTGAGCTTGTTTAAACATTTTGTGTTAATAAATACTGTCAATAAATGTTTTATGTGCTTATGTTATTTTGAAACTACAGCACAATGCTGCAGCTCCAACTTGACAGCGGACAGATGAATGGACATTTCTGTGACTTTGCTGTTGAGAAATTCGCTTGTGCCTCGGTAAGACATCTCGGAACAACAACTGTAACCTGGAACTGTAGAACAGTTTCATAAATGTTTTGTGCTGTTGTGTGAAATCGTTTCAATGTGATCTGCAGTATGTTTTCTGATCTCCCTTCATTATTCACCCGTTGTCATTCTGTTGTTTCTTCACCCAGCTGTCAGCATTGAAAGCAGAAGATCTAGCGGTGATTTTGGCGTGTAATCGCTCCTCTACCTCCAGAGGCTCAAGACCCATCTGGAATCTTCTCCTCTCCAAAGCTTCAGGTGTGCTGGATGAAGCTCTGAGTCTTGTAACTAACAAGGTATGCATCAGCATTACTCCTCACTTTACACTTTTCTGATCAGAACATGACACTGGATGCTTGTTTTCTTGTAGACTCTGGACCCCAGAAACCCTGCAGTGCCGCTGATTTTGGACTCTATACAAGAAATCCGATTGAACACGTTCAGCATGGCCAGCTACAGTGATCCTGCACTCATCCAACTGTGGTTTAACCGCTGGCTCCGCCCTTTCCTGCCAGCTGTTTCCCCTGACTTCCTTTCATGTCTCGCCACAAAAGGGTTGAACTGCAGCACCTACCAGTACATGTAAGCTTAAACATTTCCATAGTCCCCTTCAACCAAACTCAGTATAAATCTGATTCCCTGTCTTGTGTTGTCAAGATATTGTCATTAACCACACAACCGCTTATTTCATTTATGAACTCAGCGTGCAAATTTTGAGCCAACTCCAGCCACGCATGACCCTCGCCACGCAGATATCTGTCTACACAAACTTCATCAAGGTTTTCCTGACCAGGAATAACACCACAGGTAGGTTCTCACATTTTCATAAAGATTACATTCAGGAAGTAAGTTTATTTTGAGTGTAAAAAGTCTCAGTACACATTAAAAAAAAAAATTACCAGAGGTTTCGTAAATGTTGTGCTACAGTATAAAATTCTATAATACTCATTGTACACATGAAAACAATTGTTAAATTAAAAATAATACAACTTTGCTATTATTAGATCTTTATACAAGAGGCATAGTAATACCCAGTACAGCATGTATGAAGCTACTGAGATAGTTGATAGAAAAATAGTAATGCCCTGACGCTGAATCCAAACCATATATGTATATTATATAATATATATTATAAACAAAGAAACATTTCACATGAGAAAGGTTAAAGGTCCTAATGAAGACCCGATTAGTGTGGTTTTGAGATCATTGCTGCAAGTGGGGCAACAAAATACAGTGGCAGCACATGAAAGGCCATGCTCAGAATCAGAAGGAGCTTTATTGCCAAGTAGTGTTTTACACATACGAGGAATTTGCTGTGGTGATCAGGTGCTACACGTAGCCATACAGTCAACATAAATAAATGTAGAAATATATAAATATTGAATGGATATAAATATGGAATGTTGTTAGGCTACCTAAAATAAATCGACTGTGCTTCATCAGCGACATCCGTGCTTACTGTTTGTCGCACATTACCATGTTGGTAGAATGTGAAGTATAGGGAAATGGCCCGTTGTTACAACTTACAGCAGTTGTGTTTACACAATGGTATGTGTAAAATCTTTCTGTATATGGTTCACAGGAGTTTGAACATCACCATGGTACATCGATAAGAATGCCGATGTATAACATGACACTTAACTAGGCGACTAACAAACAAACATTTGTACTCTAACCAAAGAGGGTGAAGGGTAGGCCTACCACTACAGAAATGATAAAGTACTATATAACAAAGACATTCATTTAACAATTACATATAAGAATGTCATCATGGTCTAGGTTAGGTTATATTGTTGTCTGCCTTTCCTTAAGAACTACAATTAACAGACCATGTGCACTGCACACTTACACACTGTGATATCTGTAGTCTCAAGGCAAACAATCAAGCTGAGGAATATAGCATCTACTAATACGTATACTAGTCAAGCATTCAATCACATCAAGTTTACAAATAACCATTAAGATACAGCAAATATGAAAAAGGCAATAAACTCACTTTATCACGCACAACCATAGATGTGTATCTGAATCACAGAGATGGAGGGCCCTCACACGTGGTTTGTGTTGCTGCCAGCCAGAACAAAGGAAGGAGGAAGAGGGTTGCTGAACAGTATGGTTACTCACACTGCTTGTCACTGTTGTCGTACCATATCTTGGAAATGTATCCAAAGTGTTGTGTTTGTGTTACAATTACACATATATTATTTAGCCATTTGTTAAATAAGGTTAGTCACAAGCTATAAAGAAGCAAGTCAAACAAACTGTATACTTTTTTTAGAATCAGCTAGCCCGTTAGTATTTGTGTTAACATTGGATTATTATTTAGGTACATTTAATTGTATTTTGGCTCTGGTTTTGTGATACTTCCACTATTCTTTCCATAAAGTGGGAGATATCGTAGCTGTCATAAATGTATCTCCTACTCATAATTACAACCAGGACTCTTTCTTGAATGTTTTTTCCTTTTGTAATACATGACATTGTAGGCATCCATGCAATCTAGTTGTCTAATACACTTACTATGTAATCGCAACATTGTCTGTTTGAGTCCGACTGGAGACCTTGTCGTCATCTGGGCACCACAAATGTCTAAATCAAACCAAATTTCATTGCAATCCACCAAATAGTTGTCTATACATTTCAGTCTGGATGTGCTGTAAAGATTGCCATGATGTACATATTTTCTTGTGATACAAACAGAACTATGATTTCCCAGTAAATCACTTTAAAAATAAACTACAGTCAGCAGGGTGTCTAGGACATGATGCATATATAAAATGTACAGTAAAGTTGATTGTGTTCTGTGTGTTTTTGTGGTTCAGACCCCAGCTGCAGCTTGAACATTAACAACAGTGTAGAATGGATGCTGAAGAACTTGGGAGGTTTCTCTGTCCTCATGTCCTTCCAGGATCTACAGATGCTCTATCACAACTTTTCAGTGGTACTTTCTGTTGCATTGTGACTATTGTTATTATGGTTGTTTATTTGCTTGTTAATCTGTCTCTGTTTTAACCATCTGTGTTGTTGTATATATCTGGAAATGCAGATGGAAGCGTTACCACAGCTGACAGTCAGACAGCTAGCGGAGGTGTCCGCCACACCTGGCCAGCTCATCTCTTCAACCCAGGTTAACATGGTGATGAACTACATCCCTGACCAACTTTTCCCAGCTTTCTTTGATGACTTCTCACCAGCTATCAGTGTGAGTCTGCGTCAAACATCAATTTTCATATCAATATCTTGTCCTTGATTCTGCATAAGTAATGTTTATTTAGTTACCTAAAGTTATAATATATAATTCATACATTTCCTGGTGGTTTAATATGAATTGACATAGGAGAAGCCCCATACATTTAGCATAATACATTTTTACACTCTACTGACTCTTTTACAAATGTGTAATGTAGAAGACGGCACAGTTAAACTTGCACCACCTAACTTTTCAGAAAAGTAGATTTCTTATATGCAAAGTTTATCTCAATGGTTGCTTTTCCTTTTTTACTGCAGGGTCATGAAAACATGTTCCCTTCTCCAGTGTTGTCAGCCATGTTGCAAGTTGTGTTTGCTCGTGCAAACCTCTCAAATCCCTCAGTGAGTGATTCAGTTGTGTCACTGTGGCTCAGCAAACGACTGCCCCCGCTGTTGTTCAACCTGTCACCCCTCCAAGTCGCTATGTTCTTCAGAATACTGGCGGGGAGAGACTGCACTATCCAGCAGCAGGGGTAAGTGTAGAGCCATGAGCACTGAACGAATGATTTAATTTAACTGAAATTAATTTTAGAGTTATTGTTAGTTTTAGACGATGCAATTTGCTGTACCTCATCTCATATGGGATTCTATACAAAAGTCAAATGTTAATTACTGTAGCCATACAGCTTGAGTTTGTTTGTTTTGTTTTAAACATCTTGAATTCATGTTTTATATTTCAGAGTCAAAGACCTGAATTCAACAATCTCATCTCTCAGTCAAGTTACACAGAATGACATCCACAATCAAATCGTTCAGGCTCTCAAAGGTAAAGAAACCGGCACTGAAAGGAAACTAGCAACAGTTTTGGGTGGTAACATGTTACAAAATAATGCATTATTGTAATCGCATCACATCATTCGTGTAACAATTAAGTCATCACGATAAATATTCCATTTGCAGTAATTATATGACAGTTGCTGATCTAACAGAGAGGTTGATGTTTAAAGGTACCCTGTGGAGTTTTTGACTACTAAAAGCTTTATGGAGAAATGTTTTGTGCCCATTTGTCGGTCTATACACAATATGTTATTTTTTGGAAAACACTGACTGTAAACAAAAATGTTTTCAGGAAACACAGGGTACCTCTAAGTTACATTCTTAAGCTACTTTAACTTCTTAATTGGAGTAATGGACTGAAATATTACCCCTGTACATTCAAACTGTAAGAAAAGTGGTTTAAAATTGTAGAATATATTTTAAATCACACCTCATACACTCCATCTTCTAAGATTTGAATTTCTATTTTAGGTTGTAAATCAATCCTTTTACAGCTAATTATTTTACCCATGAAGTACTAAGGAATCCATTATTTTGTTTGTTGTAATCTAACTGGAAAACATTATACCTAGTCTCTTTAAATTGTGATGAAATTTATTCGTTCCTACTGTCATGAATCTCAAATATCCCTAACGACATTTTCAGTTTTCAGGCCCTTTTGCAATTAGACAAGCATTATACTATCTAGGTAGCCAATCTACTGTATGCCATGAATTTTTGTGGTAAGGGAAGGACGCTAAATATGTCAACTAAAGAGAACTAATTTGGAGCTCACGCAGTAGCCCATACAGTTTGTCTCCATATTTAAATTGACTAGTTATGAATAGGAATGTATTTATTGATGACTTGATTTCATTACATACCGTGCTGTCAGATGCTCAGGGGAGATGAAACTCATCTTGAAATGTTCATAATAATAAACACTTCCCATTGAAACAATCAAGGCTGACAGCAAGTAAATATATTGTTAACAACATGAACACGTCCATAACCTTGGAGTTACTATCTTTGAAACCAAACCTACAACCATCATCTTAACTCAGCAGATCAAAGTTCACGTGACAGCCGAGCTCTTTCACTCTCCCTCATTCTAGGACCGATACCTCTCCAGTGCTACGGTAACAACAACAGCCACAGTTTCTACAGTTTCTTGAAGAGCTCATTCATGGGATTCCAGTTCCCCAACCTGACCACCTTCCTGTCCCTCATGCCTCAGAACAGGATATTTCAGGTGTGTGTCCAGAAGTAATACAGAGGAGAGATAGTTCTATTGTTTAAGTTGAAGGATGTGATGGGTAGATGAGGAAGAAGAGGATGACTTATGTCTTTGTTTGCTGTTCCTCTAGCTGGTGAACTCCATGCCTCCATCAGATCTTGGAGATTTTCTCCGTCGCCCTGACGTAGTCGACAACAGTGCAGAGCTATGTGTGATCTACGACAACTACATCCAGACACCGGTGTTCCTAGAGACTGTATGTACCACACACAGAAACACACAGAAATGCAAACACATGGTGATGATATAATAACATTACTGTGTAAATTCACTACAGGAGACTCTCCCGGCGGTGGTGAAGCAGCTTACACTGCCTTGTGTCTGGCCCATGGCTCTCAGCAGCTCCACAGAGTCAGAGGTCAAAGCCTGGTTTGACCTACGCCTTCAAAGCTACTTGGTCTTCCTCACAAAGAGTCTGATCAGCCCCAGTACCACTCACAACGCCTCCTGCCTGGCCTTCCAAAAGCTGTAAGTATGGTTTTCACAACAATATATTTTGTGAAATACATTTTTTTAAAGATCATGTCATTGTTGGATGTTTTCAAATCATTTTTTATATTTTTCATTTTGTTTTTCAGCATTTCAGTTCTTGGTCAATACAACTACACTGCTGCAAACTTTGCAAGGCAAGACGTGTTTAACACCATCACAGCCTACCTCGCCTCAGGTCAGGCTTCAGAATAAAACAGATCTAGTATTTAACAGAGTTGCAAACAGGATTGCCAACTAAATGACTTTCGTGCTAGATCTGGCAACTTTTAACACTCCTTTAGCGCTTAATTGTGACAAATCTAGCAACGTTTTGGGCAGACCTCAACTAATTTCTCATGTTATGGCTGGACTCACTGTATTTAGTGAGTGGGTGAGAGCAGCAGCACTTTACTTAAAAGCACACTGTATTTTTACACTGTGTTATTGGTACTTTTACTGTAATGTAAAGTTTCCACCACTGCTTCTTCCCCATTGTTTGTCCGAGGAACTCCTTCCCCCTTTGTTTTTATTCTAAAAGATTCATCTTGACTCTTTAAGTTTAATTTTTTGGTTTACTAGATTGAGACTTCAGTTCTACACTCAATACAACAGTCTAAATCACAATTCTAATAATAATCTGACTTGGTGGCGTGCTGTGTTGAATGTAGGGCAGGTGGTAAAAGCAGAGGTTGCTCGTTGGTTTACAGCACTAAGATCAGTCTCCAAATGAACATGTTTTATATTTTCATGTCAAGATGTTTCGTGTCACACCTTCAACATAAATTTTAAGTATTTCACAGTTAGGAGAACAAAATTGTCCAAGTTACCAAGGGTCTCAGTCAGTCTCACTATATTTCTAAATGTTGTTTAGACATTTATTCTTCATTTATCTTTCTCAGTAAAATCCTCCATGTAAGTATTTGTAATTTGTCGTTGTAGCGACGGTGCCAAGGTGTTACAATCCCAGTGACCCAGAACTAAACTCCACAGCCTGGTTTGCTTTGTACATCGGCCCTTTCATGCCTTTCCTCACTCTGGAGGCTCTTCAGACATTTGGATCTGCACAGGTACTGAACATAATTTGGGGAATCTTGGGGCGCTTTCACACCTGTAGTTCGGTTCATTTGATCCGGACCAAGTGAAAAAAATGATACACTGTTGCATTTTAGTTCTGGTCCGGTTCATGTTCACACTGCAGTTTTACAAACGAACCAAGAGAAGTAACCATGATGTTACACAGACTTACAGGTAGCTTGTTGATTGGACAGCTTTGGCGATTGTCATCCTGCATCATCAGGACCCACGTGGGGAAATCAAACTCCGGTGACTGACAAGTTTATGCAGCACTTTAATGCTTCTGATCTGTATTGCAAAGAAAGTTATAATTTATTATATGCATGATTACTGGTAGTAATGTTTGACCACAGATAGACCGCATAGCCTATTATTAAAATTAACGTAAAAACAGGACATGTACAGTAATAATTCGGGGCTTATTAGCCTATAGTATACCGTGGTATCGCTGTCACAAATAGTGGTTTAGCTTTGGAAATAATGCTCAGGTCACGTCTTTGCTATCATAAAATCCTGCGGTTGGTTCGTTTGCTTTCACACCACAAGCGAACCGCACCAGAGACACCTCTTCAAGGAGGTCTCGGTACGCTTGTTTGGTCTGCTTTTGGTGCGCACCCAAGTGCGATTGCTGCATTCACACCTGAACAAAGGAACCACACCAAGGGGGAAAACGAACTCTAGTTCAATTCAACCGAGCTAAATGAGGCAGGTGGGAAAGCACTCTTAAACTGTAGCTCAGGTTTTGTTCACTGAGATTGAAATTAAGAAATTCAAGATAGATGCATTAATGATGTACAGACCACCTTCTCAGTGTATATACCATACTCTTCTCTCTGCAGGTTATCCAGGTGTTCACAGTAAACCCCTTGAACATCGCCCTCTTCAATAACCCCGCCTTACCTCTCAACCTCACCAACTACTACACTCAGCTTGTTTATCAACAGGACAGCAACTTCAACCCCTTGCTGTGAGTCTAAACCTATAAAATGTATTTTAGCTTTCAGCCACAAACCCCTCATTTGTGACATCATCAAAAAATACATACATGCATTGGTGGAATGTAACAAAGTACATTTACTAAGTAATGTACTTTAAAGTAATTGTACTTCGCTTGATTATGACCATTTTCCATATACTTCACTACATCTCAGAGGCAAATATTTTACTTTTTATTTGTCTGTGAGTGCTAAGTAAAAATCATGTATTTTCAAAGTAAGGGATTTAGAATTTGAATTTTTCTGATAAACTGACATTTTAAGTGTTCCTTTATGGTTTGAGAAATGCCTCCTACTTCTTAAACTAAATAAACTAGTTAACCCCCTCTTGGATGAGCAGGAAAATGCATTGCCACAAAGCTAAAAAACAGGGCTGATAATACTGTACTTACATAGTAGTGAGATTTTTTTTAATGCAGAACTTTTACCAATATTACTACTACACACTACATAAATGAATGATGCTATACTATATCCATGTAAACCTCTCTATTGCTCTCTCTCTCTTGCTCTCTCTCTCTCTGCAGGCTTCCTGGGTTCAGTTGGTGTGTTGTTCCTGGTCCAGCATTCAGCCAGCTGACTGCAAAACAAAGTATGATGGTTCTGCAGAACCTGACCACTCTCTGTACAAACCTGGACCCACAGGTAATAAACACACACAGAAACTACCATACGTATCTGCTGTGATGACATTTTTCCCAAATACCTGAGTGACACTTTAGGGGAAAAACCTGAAATAATGAGTGGAGAAACAGAACAAATGCAGAGACAGGGTATGAGTTGTCATGATGATTATGAAAATGATGTAAATATCAACAGATCTCAGTGCATCAGAACGGCTATGGGAGATTTTGGACCCAGATGACTGAAAACAAACCAAAACACCAAACAAGGGAATAAAATGGTGTTCATAGATAGAAATAGATTATTATTATTGCCGTGCGACAGTGGTAATTGCTTTGGTACAGCATGGCATAGCAGTTCCAGTGCAAAAAGAAAGAGAAAAAAACAGGCTGCCAGTGCCCATAAAACATTACAACATAGTACACAAAAAGGTAATACATGACTGTGAAAATATGTACAGTGAATATATATGATATGTACAGTTTACCATCACGATGAGTTGAGCCGGGGTGGCTGTGGCTCAGGATGAAGAGTGTGTCATCCGCTAATCAGAAGGTCGGCGGTTTGATCCTGGGCAAGTTACATTGTGATGAGCAGACCATTTACATATCAAGTAGCCTTACAGGCAGAAGGTACAGTTATTGATATACCAGGCAGTGCCGAGTTCAGTACCTGCAGAACAATTCAGGTTATTATTTACGATCTTGTGGCAAGGGGGGCTAGCATGGGGAGTTACCCAGTTCTGAATTGGCAAAATACAGAATTCTCCGATGCAAACAAATCTCCTATCAAACCTTTTCTCTCTACTAATTTTTTTCTTTTAGCAATAAGAAATGTGCTAGACTTTCTAAAGTGAGCAGAAATCAAAACTTTTGGCTGTTGTTTTTGTAGTTCAACAGAAAAATAATCAGCTGATTGCGTCCTTTCAATTTCATAAGAACCTCCCAATTTAACTTTTATGCACATCATATCAATTATTTAAAATGATGAACTTTTGTGAATCAGGACCTTTAGTAATCGGCTCAATTAGCTTGTCAACAATAAGGTTTGTTAGCAGATTATCTGCTTTCTTATTTCAGTGTATCATATTTCATGAACATTTAGTGTTCTGATTCGAAAAGCAGTTTCGATGTTAGATTTATACCTCAACCCTACTTCTAAATCTCAGTCTGAAGGATTTATTAATTAAATACAATAACTTGGTTAAGGATGCGAGAACACACTATTTTTCTGAACTCATTACTTCACATAAACACAATCCCAGGTTTCTGTTTAAGACTGTGGATCAGCTGGTAAACCCAACCCCTCCTTGTGCCTCAGCTGGAAGTAATGATGACTGTGAATTGTTTTTATCTTATTTTAAGGTGGTGTCAATCAGAGCCTCTATTACCCCCGCGGCCTCTTACTCAGAGGTTCCTCACCAGCAACAAGAGAGTTTTAACCAGTTTTATCCCATCGACTTGTCTGAGCTTTTAAAAACAGTATCACAAATGAGAGTGTCCTCCAGCCCACTTGATGTAATACCTACAAAGTTTTTACTGAAAGTAATAGATTCTGTTGGGCCCCATTTGATCTCTGTTTTTAACAGCTCCCTATCTACTGGTTGTGTCCCTGATTATTTTAAAATGGCTTGCGTGAACCCACTTTTAAAGACACCTGGTTTAGATCCCTCCCGCTCACAAAATTTTAGACCAATTTCAAAACTGCCTTTTATTGCAAAGATTCTAGAAAGAATTGTGTCCAAACAGCTGCTCACTGTACTGGAAAATAACAAATTATTTGAAAAGTTTCAGTCTGGTTTTAGGAAGTACCACAGCACTGAGACTGCCCTGCTTAAAGTCACCAATGACCTTTTAATGTCTGCTGATGAAGGCATGTGCTCAGTCCTTGTACTCCTGGACCTTAGCGCTGCTTTTGACACCATTGATCACAACATCATGTTACAGACTGAGGCACTGGGTGGGGATCTCTGGTACTGCCCTAGAATGGTTTTCATCCTACCTGTCAAATAGGAAGTTTTGCGTGTCTGTAAAGAACTATGTCTCTTCGTTCTGTCCAGTTAAATATGGTGTGCCTCAGGGGTCGGTCTTAGGACCCATTTTGTTTTCCTTTTATCTGCTTCCCCTTGGACATATTATCCATAAACATGGCATTTCTTTTCATATTTATGCTGATGACACACAAATATACTTGCCCGTCAGATCCACAGACCCTGGAATGCTGAGTTCACTTAAGAACTGCCTTTGTGAAGTTAAAAAATGGATGTCAAATAATTTCCTCCAGCTGAACTCAGACAACAAGAACAGAAATCCTGGTCATCGGGTCTCAGCAGATGGTAAATCAAATACTGCCATCTGCTGGTTCCCTAGTAAATCACATTAAGCCTGTGGCAAAGAACCTTGGTGTTTGGTTTGATAGTAATTTAAATTTCGAGCAGCACACCACAAAGCTTGTTCAATCATGTTTTTATCAACTTAGAAATATAGCTAAAATTCGATCTATGTTAACTTTTAAGGACACCGAGACCATCATCTCATCATGCCTGGATTATTGCAAAAGCCTTTTCACCTGTTTAACCCAAAAATCTATTGATCGACTCCAGACTGTCCAGAACTCAGCTGCCAGGCTTTTAACCAGAACAAAGAAATATGACCACATTACTCCTATTTTAGCTTCATTACACTGGCTCCCAGTATGTTTTAGAATTGACTTTAAAATTCTATTGATCACTTTTAAAGCTCTTCATGGCCTCTCGCCTTGTTATATTTCTGACCTTTTACTCCCATACACACCAGCACGTACTTTGAGATCCTCGGGCAGAGGTCTGTTGTCTGTTCCAGAGTCTCGACTGAAAACTAAAGGGGACAGAGCGTTTGCTGTCAGGGCCCCGAGGCTCTGGAACAGCCTGCCCGAGGAAATCAGGTGGGCTGAGTCAGTGAACTCTTTTAAGTCCCTTCTTAAAACATACTTTTATAGGAGAGCCTTTCCCGATCTTATTTGACTTTATTTTATCCCTTTTATTTTATTGTATTTTCCTAATTTTATATTTATCTGTATTTTAGTCTTTCCAATGTTTTCATGCTTTTATCTTGTATTGTTTTTTGTTTTTTTTGTATTATTGTCTCTTGGGTATTATTGTCTTTACACTTGTTAAAGCACTTTGTAACTTGTTTTTGAAAAGTGCTCTACAAATAAGGATTATTATTATTATTATTATTATTATTAAATATTCCATAGCAACCACAAAATGTAAAATAAATTGATGTACAATGAAGATCTAAAGTTTTTTCTTATTAAAACACTTTTCTAAAGGTACAGGTTTGGTGGTTTAAAAGGTATTTTTTGTAATTTAGAAGCATTCATAGATTGTAAGTATTTTTGTGTTGCACCCTCCCAGTGAATGCCCGTATTGTCAAAAAAGTAATGTTTGGGTTCATCTCGCTTTGTACTTTATAATGTATAAATGGTAGGGGTACAAAAATTGACTTTAGAGTAAGAAATTATACCTGCAACTGACAAAGTTTTGCTTTCTCCTCGGTAGGTTTCTGCAGCTTTGGCCAGTAACTTTGGTAATAAAATTGATGTCGCAATAATTTCTGCCCTTGGCAACAAAAGCACCAGCCTGTCCATTGGTCAGATCATGACAATAACGCCTCAAGAACTATTTGCTGCCCTCAGCACTCTCAGCAGTGTGACGGGTTGGACTCCAGGTCAGGCCAGCGTCATTATCCTGTCTCTGATGTCTTCAGGGATCATGCAGGTAGCTGCTGTTTGTCAGTCTGTCTGTTGCTGTCAACAAAGCTGATTCTGATGCCAAAGTTGAGTCTTTGAGCCCACCAGTCAGAATAAGGCTGTCTCATCTGTGTACTTCTTCCTTCCTTCTCCATCCCACCAGATCCACAACGCTTCGTCGTTGCTCTTGCTGGGCTCTCTTGTCGTGGGTTTACCCGCAACAACGTTCAGCAGCATCGATGGCTCCCAGCTGCTTACTGCATCCAAAAATCCTTCATTTCTGGGGTACTTGACGTCCGCTCCACAAATTAACCAGGAGATCTTTGTTACTCAGGTACGACAGCTTCATTTCTGTTACAAGATTTTATTTATAGTCCAAAATCAAAAACAATCAAATGTTATCTGGAAGACATTCCTATTTGAGCAACTTTTAACATCCTCTATCCTTGGAGCCTCGCTTCAGATAAGGGAAAAACTCACACAAAAAAAGTTTGTGGAAAAAAATACAGAGACGTCACAAAAAGCAACAGGGAGGATACAGAGCAGACTAAAAGGATGATACTAAAATTATGACATGGAGAAACAGACACAATACACAATAAAACAATAAAAACAACATAAATACAAGATAAAATGGAAGAAGGCCTAGATGAAAATAAGTGAATACACATACATATGACCTGACATACTTTACTTTATATCATGTAGTATACAGTGAGTTACCAGTTTATTACCTACACTACACCCTGTTTAAGATGTTTTTTGTTGTAGCCCATTTGAGTCTCATGGTGCATTGTACACAACGGTGTTAGATTTGGATATAATTTGACTGTTAGAAGTATTTCCTGAACTGTCAGACCCACAAGTGTTTAGTTTTTTGTAATTTCCACCACTCTTCGAAACTTTTTGTGAAAAGCTAAAGACTCAGCTATTTGCAAGGTGCAAGAACCTGAAGGTCTACCATTATGCTATGTTCAGTTAAGTGAAAATGTTAACTTGTGTATGTTATCCCAAAAAAACATGTCTTGACCATTCCATTGATACTACAATTGGCAGATATCTAGATCCAATAAGACAGAAGTCATGTCATGGACTAATTTGCATGAAAGTGGAGCATTTTAAGACAAACCCTGAAATCATGTTTTCGCTAACCTCCAGTGACTTAACCTCTCACCTCACCTTGCTGCAGTGATAGACTTCAAGACACTGTGACATCACTGTTACTGGTTACTGTCACATTAGTAAATAAAGGCAACAGATGGAGGAGGACTCAAATGCAAACAAAGTAAAGTCAAATAAATCCAAGTGGGCACGACAGACGAGCAAGTCAGGAACAGGTAACAGGTAACAAGGTACAAGTAGAGGTAAAGGTAGCGGGATGCAAAGGCTTTGAGTAACAATCTGGGAATGTGGCTGAAGGGGACAGAGAAGCAGAATGTGAAAAACAGGTGACAAAAGAGCGCACAGATGAACAGACTTTTAACCAGCAAAGGCAGTGAAACACACATTTAACTCACTTCCCACATCCCCACCCAGATCATTTCAGTGAACAGCAACAGTGAGGTGATCATACAGAACGTTCCAGATGAACTGGCCACTGAGATCCCTCGAGCACTGCTGGTGGGCTTCTCAAATACCAACAGCGTTATCACCACACTCAACAGGAAGAATTGGATGCCGTGGCAGGTACGGGGACGCAACACTGAAACACAGACTTTTGTTCTGAATGTACCAACTGGATGCTCGATGCTGTAATGTTATTACACACTGTGTGTTTTTTTTAGGCTGAGTTGTTCTTTAATATAATAGCTGTGGACACTGCAACCGCAGTGCTGGGAAGTCCAAATAAGTGAGTTTTGAAGAAATTTTCAATAATACAAGAGTTTGCTAAAAAGGTAATCAGGTAATATCTTGCAGGTTGGTTTCAATATGTACAGAAGATAATGTGTGTGTGTGTGTTTGTGTAGTTTGTCATCCTCAGTGCTGCAAGGGTTCACAAGCACCGGAGTAAGGACCTTTCCAAAACTGCAAATCAAATTGCTGATCAAAGCCTGTCGGAGGGCCGGCATTCACAAGGTCAAACTGGTGGAGACTCAGGTGAGAGAGGGGCAGCGTGTGTGAGGGTGTGTGTGCGAGCGAGGTCATCACTACAAGTCATAGAAATGCAGTTAAAACAAGGTTATTCTGCCTGTGGCCCAGATGTTTAAAAATGTTCTCATTTTTAACAAAATGTATCCAAGTTTTTCACCTCAACATCTTTTCACCTGCAATCACCAAATCGCTGCATAGTGGAACAACAAAGGGGTTATATACAGAACTGATGAGAATTTTTGTTCCCAACAGCTGACCTGCATGTACAACTACATTAAAGGAGACCCAGATGCCACCATCTTCAACCTCTATCCCTATGATATGCTGCTGTACTATGAGTGAGTTTAAAATGATTTGTGTTGGACTAAAGTTATCTGTCAGAACAGTTTGAGTTAGTTTATGTCCCTCTGTCTCTCTACAGTTACTCCCTGGTGCCACAGAACCAATGCAGGTCCTATTTTGAACAGCTGGCAAATGCAGACTTCTTTGTCTTCTCCTCCGTCCTCAGCTACAAACTGACTGCTCTGTTTAATAATGCCAGGAGCTGCCTGGTGAGTCCCCAAACAACAAAACGATATGCTCATCTCAAATGGACATTTTCCCAAGCTCTAAACTAAAGTAACCTATCACACTCAGAAATTGCCTAGTGATGAATTAAGTGAACCAATTTCCTGAAGGAAGATTAAAGTCACTCCAGGACTAAATAAATGTTTAAATCTCTAAGGAGTCCAATTTACTTTTAGTTGTTGTCTGGGAACACATGGATTATTTGGATGACGACTAAAGAGCACAACCAAGCGGCAACAAGAACACCACCAAAGAGCACTCACTTAATATACTTGTTATGCAACTATGCTAGTTTATATAATACATACATCAGTTCATTTTGATAAAGCCAGTGTCAAAGTTTTGCTTTTTGTGCTTAAAGTAGTCCAGGACACCCCATTCAAGAAGTGATTATTATTATTTTATTAATATGATAGATTAAGACTGAACTCCTGATTTATATTGTAACCTGACCATTAGCACATAAACTAAAATACATGTAAATAAATGTTAAGAGTGTGCAGCAAAAAGTGTGCTTAGAATGCTTAGAACTTCAGTTCTTCATAGCCCAATCTGTAATTAATTTCTGTCATATCATATTCTCCTATTATCTCCAAGGGTATAACAAACACAAGTTTGACCATGGATAATATATCAGTGTTGGGAAACATGTGCTGCACTTTGAATGGGTCCTACATCAAGAACTCTGACCCCTTCATCTTGGAAAAGCTCAAGAACTGCCCAGCACTCACCAACGCTCAAGTGGCTGCTGTTGAAGCTCTACTGCAGAGCGGGAAAACACAGTACGGGTATGTCAACAACAGCAATATATCTATTATAAGTTGGTAAGAAAATCAGGAAAACTCTTTTATTGTAAGTCCTTGTAGGACCAGCAGATTTATTTCTCAGAAGCCTTTAGGGTCTTTTAAAATACCTGCCTGTTTACTTCTGTTCCTTGTAAAACAAAAAGATCACAACAGAAAACAATTCTCATAATGAAATAATTATAATTTAGTGACCAGTTAAAACATGGGGTTTTTTTGTTTCAATTTCTGTTTGATACACTGCCTTTTACACTCTTTATTTTTTTATAACCAGAGCTCCATCAACATGGAATCAACAGACTCTGGTGGACCTCGGGATGTTACCGTTGTATTTGACTTCAAACTTCTATGCTAACTTTAACACAGTGAGTAAGACTTGAATACATGCATTTAGGAGAAAACGTGACTTTCCATTCGTCTGTGGCATTACACCTGCCTGGTGTTGGATGGAGGTTGGTGATGTTTTCTTAATTTATTTTTTTTATTTTTTACATCTGTGCCTGTTTTGTTGCTGTGAGCAGACCACAAAGCAGGCGTTCTTGAGTTACTTCCTGAACGTTATGAGCAGCAATGGAGTGAGCATCCAGATGAGACAGAGGCTGATGGACGAAATAATGAGGTCCATTACTAAGAAGTCAAAGCGATCTATAGGTGAGTCACTCTCCATTATCTGCTCTGCTCATTTCATCTTCATTAATTTACTACTTTAACTATTGTTTTTCCTGTGTTTTAGTAAATGGGTGCACTGTAGGAGTGATCACCCAGGTGACCATCAGCGACGTGACGTTCCCCTTCGTCTATAACGACATAAACCAGTTCAACTGCTGCCTCAGTGCCACCACTGTTAAAGAGAACTTGGATGCCATCACTAGGAAGGTGACCCAGACCCAATACCTCCAGATTGTTCTCAGCAGGCTGAGAGAGGTAAGTGATTGCAGCCAGTGAAGATGTGACTGAACTGTAAATGCTTTTCTTTAAACTGAGCAATAACAAAAATCTAAGCTTACTTTCCATTTTTATTTACAGTTACAAAACTCCACAGAGAACAAATTAACTGACTCTGATTATGATTCTCTGCTGGGTGATAATGTCTTCTGATTCTCACATATTTATAGGCTTATGTGGCCAACTCCACCATCCCAGAGAGTCAGGTTCAGCTCTTAGGCCCAGCGTCCCGTGTGGCCACTATTAATGACATCAACATGTGGAATATCACTCAGATTGACACACTCGCTGCTTTGATGAACCCGTCGAATGGGCAGTGGGACCCCAGCCTGGTGAGCAAACAAGTAAAGTGTGTTGTCTATGTTCGCATATATATATTGTGTGTTCTCATGACTTAATGTTTCTTCTCGTCCAGGCTAAAGCCATCATTTATAAGTATCTGAATAAGACAGGGAACCAGCTGGGCAGTGATGAGCTCAACGCCATCGGAGGAGCCAACCTGTGCTCTTTGGACACAAGTGTTTTAATGACCATTTCCCAACAAAGCCTAAAGTAAGAAGCAAGGAAGGACAGTGTGTGTATCTGGAGGATTGTTTGACTAATATCGTGATATTTGAGTCTAAAAAGATTATATCATTGTTTCTTGTGATATCATGAGTTCATAGTTCAACTGGGCGTTATACATACACCAATCAACCAAAGCATTATGACCACCTGCTGGTCATTATGTAGGCCTCTGTTGTACCACCCAAACAGCCCTGATCCATCAAGGCATAGACTCCACTGTGCATGAACTTTTTCAGCAATTTGACCTACAGTACCTCACCTGTTGGATCGGACCACATGGGACAGCCTTTGCTCGCCATGTGCACCACTGTGCTGTTAGTGTGTAGGGCAGCTTGGATGGGAGCTGAGAGGCAAAACCCAGATGTTTTTTCTTACACTAATTGAAGGTGTAAATCTACATAAGTTAATTTTATATGTAGTCCACCTTAAAGAAATATCCCCTAAAAAAGACAAAATAGTTTGCATATTGCAAAATAATTTTGTTTATATTTAAAAAAACAAACAATTATGATACGTTGATTTGATGTTAACATTAAATGTACAATCACAATCACATATAGTAACTATATACTTTTCAATTTTTTATGATGTAAACATTCTGGGGGGGAAAGTCTTCTATCGACAAAAGTTTCATAATTCTGATAAAAAATAGACTACATTTGTAGGTTTTAACACAAAAAGAAATATTGATTCTCAAAAAGTAAACTTTTCACTTTGTTTCGTGTGGGGTTTTCTTGTCTGTTAGAAAATACAAAAGAAAAGTGCCCACAATCATAACTCCCTTAAACATTTATTAGCATTAATGGTCTTCCTCAGGTTGATGAACTCTAATTCCTGTGTGTGTATACTTGTCTATTACATTCTTGTTGATGTTTTTGATATCTAGCACTGAGGTTTTCAGGATGTGCACACAGCTGTTCTTGTCTATTTCTTGTCTCTTACTCTGTGTTTTTGTGTCTCCTGCAGATCTGCCAACGCCCTGGACGTGTCCAACTGCACCACAGAGAGTAAGGCAGTTCTGTTCACCATTGCCAGTCAAGCATTTGCCCCAACCACCCGCACAGCTATCTCTGCTAGCTCCTACCAGCTCACGCAACCTTACCTTGGTAGGCAAACAGACCCACAGACACAGCCTCACCTTCAACAACTTCTTTTAAACACAAACAGTTGACAGTAAACTAACTATCCATTTCTTTCTGTCCTGCAGGGGGTGCAAATTTAAACTATATCCGAAGTTTGGTGGCCTCCAATATCAACATGGACATTGTTACCTTCACCAATCTGATTACGAACGTTGTACTGGTCAGTCTTTAATTGTATTTTATATATAATTTAGCATAAAATAAAATAATCATTTTCAGGAGTGTTGGTAAGGAACAATGATTGCTTATGAGAGCTTTTAAGAGTACTTAAAAGGTGCAGTAGTAAGGTAGTCAGTTTCTGCAGTTATTGGCAGTCGCTACATTTAGACAAAATGCTGCTACCTGCATACTTAGTTATGGCTGTGTCCAAAATAGCAGGTGTTGATTTGTTTTTATGTTCTGCTGGATTAAAAAAAGAAAAGAAATTAAAGGATAGGTTCACAATTTTTCAAGTCTGTCATACAACAATAGTCAGGTTCCCAAATGAACATTAAAACAGTTTATTCTTGCTGTAATCATGCCTCCCGTTCATACTGGTCATTAAGAGATTCCTTCGCAACATGCTGCCAATGTAAGTGATGATGGACAAAATCTGAAGTTCTTGCTCTGTGCAAAAATATGTTCCAGAATGTATCTGAAGTTAATATGAGATTTCAGCGGTCTGACGAATCAAATGGTTATCTTCCAAGTATACAAAAATTCTCTTTGTGTCTCCTTGGATTGTACGTCCGTTTTGGAGACTGTAGCTTTGGAAGATGACCACTTGGTTTGTGTAACTCAGACTACTGAAGCCTCATATTAATTTTGATTAAACTTTTGAATGAGTTTTTCAACACAGTAGATTTTATCCGCCATCACTTATAATGGTAGCATGTTAGGAAAATATCTTTTAAAGGCCAGTATGAACAGGAGGAATGATTACAGCATGCAAAAACTGTTTCAATGTTGATGTGGGAACCTGGCTATTGTTTTAAGACAGATTTGAAAAATTGTGAACCTATCCTCTATATAAGAGCTTGTTTATTTGCACTCGGATGAAATATATGTCTGCTCTTCTCTCCCTAGAACCTGACTGTTAATGAAGTTCGAGGTCTTCTTGGAACCAACCTGCCAGATTTAAAGAGCTATGAAAACCAGACACTGGTACGGGCCTGGATCAGCAGCCAGTTGCAGTCAGAGCTTGACACACTGGGAGTGGGGCTTGTGGGAGGCAGGGCTGGCACGATAGCTTCCACTACCTCTCCCACCACAACCACCTCATCATCAGTGACCACCGCCACAGGCAGCTCATCATCCCCATCATCAATAACTGGATCCAGCAAACCCACAACAGCATCTTCTACCACCACAGGTAAGAAAAAGTTGAATGACGTAAAAACAATATTTAGGAGATAATTTACCGTTAGCTAAAGGCCGGTCAAGGTTTTGATTTCTCCACATGAAGCGGTGTAAATGGGGCTTTAGTAAGAGAGATTCTCTGTAGAGAGTTTGGAAGGGGATGTCTTTTTTTCAGCCTTTACAAAACTAAAAACACAAGCTGAAGTGTAATTAGATGATTAAACAACACATTTGCATGCTCTAATATAAGCTGCAAACATTGCTGTTCTTCTGTCTTCTGCAATTTAGTTAAAGCGTGATTATCTGTTGTAAATGCAGTCCATTTGTTAACATTATGGGTAGCAAGTTGTGGAGGGTGAGAAAAAATATTAATGTTAAGATTTTTATTAGCTCCACATCCAATGGAAGTGCAGCCTACTGAGGTGCGGCAGCCACTTTGGTGAATGAAAGAGAAGCAAGGCAGCTAGCAATCCAATTACAGTGGAACCCTTGCTGTAATTTAATGCCATGCCTTGAATAGAATAAATACAGTAAAAATTATTTATTTGTGAATGAATGAAAGAGTTAGTGAACAGCATGAGCCATATAAACAACACAAAACAGGAAGCTAACAATTTGACCCTATAATAATGCACAAGCTTAAAATAATTATGCATAAAAGTCCATGAAAACCCTGACACCTCTTTTAGTACATGAAAAATAAAAAATACAACAGATTCAGTAAAACAACAACAACCTATAGCCTACTGTAAATAAATTATATTAACTTAATTATTCAGTAAAAGTCGCTTCATAATCAATGTGTTGAACAGGGAATAAAAAGGAAACGGTCTCAAGGTGGGATCAAACACACAACCTTCCAGGTGAAAGTGCTGCGCTCTACCAACTGAGCTAACCTGTATTACTTATATTTTCATTTTATTTATTATCTATTTACAGTTTCTTCAAATGTTTCAAAAGTAACCCAACCATATACTTGTTCAAAATGTTTTTTATTGGCAATGTCAATCCATTTTATAAAAAATTTCTTCAACAATATGAACAATGAAAATGAATATTCATAAAATAAATATAAATTCTCAAAATAATGCAAAAATAGTCATGCTTCTATCTAGCTGTTTTTATACTAATTCCAAAATGTGCATGAAAACATCTGGCTGAATCAGACCTCTGTCTGTCTTTCTGACCCTCACTTTTGGTATAATCTGTTGGCATAATATAACATAAACATGTTTCAATACATGCTGCAACACAAAGAAAGTCACCACATTAGCAGCGGGACAAAAGAAACACTTGTGGTCACTGTAGTGGGACGAAAGTAACGCTTGTCCCGTGTTACTTTTGCCCCGGTTTACCCCTACATTCCAACAAAGAGCTCACCTTCCAGGGCATGCATAATCCAAAGAGGCTTTCCAGATGAAGATACTATGTCACAAGGTTCTCATTTTTAAAAGAGTCAACATCAAAACATTAGCAGGCGACAGTGATAATTTATGGAGCAGTCATTTCAGCTGGTCAAGCATGGTAACTAAGGGGGGGGGGGGGGGGGGGGGGGGTCAATTAGCAGGCGTTGTTTGAGGGAGGGCAGATGTTTTAATAAAGTGGGAAACTGCTTTTATATTCATTACATTGTAAAGTGTTTATATCATATCTCATATGTAATGAATTATATAGTGTTACTGATCTCTAAAGTGAGTTTGTGTATCTTGTTTTAGGTAAGCCTAACAATGGTTCCCGCATCCGAGCAGATGCTGCCTTCTCTGTCCTTCTCCTGGCGCTACTCATCGCTTCTCAGAACATTCTTGTATGAAGAGGCACATGGCTGATTATTGTAACTTATAAATACATATACACTAGCAGGAAATTGTATTGCCTACTGTGAAAAAAATATGTGCAATAATAATACAGTGGATGTACAGTATAATGTATTCTTGATTAGTTAATCTTTCAGTATGTATGCTCTGAAACCTTGTAATACATAAATTTTAGACTCATATGTTTACTTGATGATTAAATGGAGGCTTAACATAAAAATTAGGGTGACAGTTTCTGCTGTAATTGTGTTGCTGTAATCCTGTGTGTCCATTTTGAGATAGCACTTTCTTTAGGTAGGCCTACCTGAAAATGATTTGCATATATGGAGCTGTAGGAGATTAAATGCGTACTGTATATTGTTGCACAGTCATTAAGTTCATCACTTGCTTGGTCACAGTTTATTAATATTCAAGGATTTGGAGAGAATAAGTTGTTAATATGAGGGTCACATCATCATCATCTGTGCAGTCAAACCAACACCAACTACAAATTTTGTTACCATTTACAATAAATAAATAAATCTGAGCTGTAAGTAAGTGAACACTATCTGTGTATCCAGTCAAACTTTGTAAAAAAGTAGCCAATAACAACTGAATAAGAGGCATGTTAGACATATAACAGAGTCAGAGGCAACTTTTATTGCTGTCAGAGTCAGTATAATTACATTTTCTGAATATAACAGCGGTTCATTTAGGAGGCAACTGCTGTCTGTAGCCTGGTTTAACCCTAAGGACACCATATCAGTTAGGGCTACAACTAATAGTTATTTTCATAACGGATTAATCTTACTATTCATTTCCCACAACCAAAGGTGACATCTTTAAATGTAATGCTTTTTCTTACCAACAGTCAAAAAATCCCAAACTATTCAGTTTTACTATCATGACAAAGAAAAAAAGTTCTCACATTTAGGAAGCTAGAAACCAAAAAACAGAAACTATCTTTTTTGTTTAAAGATAAAAAAAAGACAAATGATTATTAAATTATCAAAATAGTTGCCAATTAATTTTCTCTAATATCAGTTATAAACGTTTATACACGCCAAGTACAGTCTTGCAGGTAGGACAGGTGTGCTTTGCATCTTTCAGCCGGTCCACACAGAATGGGATGAGACAGCAACCTAAAACAAAGCTGGAGAGGACAGCAGCTAATTTCAGGATCATCCATTCATATACAATATATAGTATATAACATAATTTAAAACATATTTTATCATTTATCTAATAAAGTCAGTTTTTTATGGTCAGATATGCATCTGCCACCACACTGCATATTTCATTATACCAGGTCAATTTTTAGCCATGCTAGCGGCTATCTTAGAATAATAGGTCCATCAATCTGTTGGGCTGTAGTTTGGTTACCCTCTGGTTACCCTCATTGCTGGCCTTAAGCAGGTAATTGGAAATTAAACCTTTGTAATAGCTAAAAGTGTAGCTCCTTTTTAAAATAGCTAAATCAAGTGTATTAGCTTTAATAATGGCAGATCTAACTACTGCAATGGCTTTGAAATTCCTGTAATCTTAACCAATGAATTTTATATTAGCATATTAACATACCAATGTGCTGTTTGCAGTATTAGCATTAACGTTAATGCACAGATAAGCCCAAGTAAGGCCTTTGCTGAAAGCTATTTTGAGTTAAAGGAATAGTTCAACATTTGGGACAATAACCTTAGAGTTAGATGAGAAGATGGATATCAATCCTATGTCTGTGTGTTTGGCCATAGTTGAAAAAGAAAACTCCTGCACACTGTCTAGCTTGCAAAAAATATATGCATTGACACAATATTTCGGTGCTAGACCTTCATCAGGAAAAATAAAAAGTTTCAAGCAATCAGCTTACCTTAGTTTAGCATAAAGGAACAGGCAGAAACTGGAAGCTTGGAATTAAAAATATCCACCCATCAGCACCTCTAAAGCTCTTTAATAAACACAATGTTTCTAAAAACACAAATTTGTGACCTCCTCACAGTCACTGAGACTGACCGTTGTTATTTTCCAAGAAAGGTTTACAGCATATCACTGCCCTCTTACATTACTTTGTGTATGGTTTACTTTTTAAATGTTGAGATTGAGGTTTCTTTCTATTGCTTTTCTCAGTTATATCTTCGTACTTAATGCACAGACACAAGAGTGGTATTAATTTGATCTTAACTCTCAGAAAGAAAATGTAATATATTGTAAATATCAAAGAATCTTTTACAGTAACGGATCCCTAACCTCTAGCACCACCTCAGGACATGGCCATGGTAAGGTGCTAGGAACAGCAAATTTTACTACCCAAAAATGATGTGCTTTTGCATCCTCACTGGGCTGCTAGCAAGGCTGTAGACTTTCCATCTCCACAACAATGATATATTATAATGAGGCAAGTTAAGTTTCACTCCTTCTTACCCACAAAAGAAGAGTCCTCCACAGAAAAGGTAGGTGAGCAAACCAGAAGAGTAGTCCACCTTGGAGAGTACTGTCTGATGGCATTTAGGACAGGCAACCTGAACTGGACTGTCCCCCAACGGGCCAACTGTCACTAGACAAAATGAGGATTGAGAAGACCAAAAGAGAATAGAATGACAATTTCTGTCAAGTTACAGGAAATTATTGATATGTTATTAAGAGGAACAACCAACTGGTCAGAAAGCTGTTGTAAATGCGCTCCTGCATATCACAAACATACAGGATAGACTCACCAACAGGCACTTGTGCAATTGCCATTGTTCCTGTAAATAATTTATATCAAAGATATAGGTAATACAGGCAACAAGATGTGCATACAAATCCATGATACACAGACAAAAACAAGATTTAAATGTGTTTAAGGAGTTGTAAATAAATTCTGGTGATGACTAATGCAACAAATGCATCTTCTTAGTCAACTGTTCATTATTGACTGCCTCTATCTTAACACAATACAAATTTATCTCATCTTTATTACTTATCTTACATGTCATTTGAACAAAAAAACAAAAAAACCAATGAGGAGTAAATTAAATGTATTCAGTTTGGCTGTATTTTAGGTGTTTTATTGTGTACAGGAAGATGCATTTGTGATACACATAATTTTTCACAAATTGACACTCACACAAGTAAATCTTGTTTATCAGTGTATCATTAAACATGCATTTGTCAGTAGTACTGAGACTTACCGATATACAGTAGGATTCAGTATTATTGCTCGGTGGTGCAAACAAGTTCACAAGTAACAAAAACAACTATTTACCAGATACCAACTAAAATCAAATAAAAACTATCATAAACAGAATCATCAAATTAACCGTTACCGTTTCAAATGAGGCACAGTACTCACAGTACGTGTAGAAGAATGTTTGACGAAAGAGAGATCAGCTCTTCCAGTGCAGGCTACACCTTCCCTGCCAACCCTGTTTACTTCCCCAGAAGTCATAAGATTGCTGGAATTATCTGTGAAAACGTCACCGACCCAAATCCATTTGCATCTGAAAGAAAACACAATTTAGCTCTCCTATGTCCCAGATCTGAATAACTTTTAGCTGACTTATCCCCTAAAATGCAATCTAACCTTGACCATGGTTTTCTTTAGTTATATCAGTCCACATTTTTTTATTTTGTCTCTTCTTGACCAACTCTTTGTGCACCATGACCTCTTGGAGAAATACACGCATGTAGCTACACATAACCAATAAACTTAAAACTTGAAAATGCTTCTAAAAATACCCAGATATGTTTGAAATAAATGTGATTTATTTTAGCACCCAATCACTTCCTCTTAATATTGTTTTTTTTGTGAGAAGACTGTGCAAACTACCTCCTTGAATGGGATTATTCCCAGTATTATTCCCATTAGAATCCCTCAGAAAAAAAATCCCCATTTTTAAATATATTTGAAGCACTAAGGATTAAGGGAAAACTGTGGATGCAGTTATTAGTGTTTAAAAGAACTGTAGAAATGATTAATTAAACATGTCTGGTATTTTGGAATACATATAAAACATCTTTGTGGCTGAGAGACTTGCTGTGCATGAAACTGAAGACAAATAGCTTTCCATTCAGACTGAAATTAACAGCACATGCTCCTGCTGCTCCAAATTAGATCTGGCATTTAACTCGTCGACCTAGCAGTGCGGTTCATGGGACAACACAGCAATCTGTTACCAGTCTCAGTAAATCTCTCAGTAAATCTGCATTTGTCTTTATTTTTCAGCTTTAGCCTTTTGTTTTATGGCCATCAAATTCAGTTCATCAAATGTTGGTTCTCGTCTGCTGGATGGGTAATGCAAGTCACATCAACAAATTTGTGGTCAAAAAAATAAATGACTGAAGCCTTAAAAATAAGGGCAGGAGGAGCAATTCATTTGTTGAATGACATAACTGCTGAAACGTCTGCAGTTGTAATGTAAAATAACTTCAAGGCTATTGAATGTGCCATTTTCAATAAATTTGACTTTGTAAAATTCAGATAGTACCGTGTTTTGTAGAAAAACAAAAGCTGGAAGTGAAGAAAAACGTTTAATATTTTTAGGGAGACAATATGACATTGTGTGGGAGCATGTTTTGACCATTGTCAAAAAGAAAATAAAACAGCAGGAATTTGACAATGAAAAGTGAATTGATCAGACCTCAAATCTGTATCGACTACATGGATTTGTATTCTTACTATGACTTAACACCTGCGCTGACCCTTATCCACAATCCCAGACAGCAACTATAATAAAAACACAGGAAGACAATAAGATGAAAGATTTTTAATCAGTAAAAACAGGTGCAATATTTCACATGTAAACAACTGCAGCTTTGCAGTCTTAATACCTGAATAGTTACATAGAAATAATATTTTAGTGACTCAAGGATTCCTGTAAAAATAGATCAGTTTAACAAAAGATGATGTATCCCCTTCCATACAAAAGAGAATTCTTGTTAATTATTTCAAGTGCTCTTAGGCTCACTTACAGATCTGTAGATCTGCAAGATGGTGCCACATCTTCAGTATTAAATAAGTCTCAGCTTCATTAGTAGCCCTCTCTCCCTGCAGCCAAATTCTACATCACTAACCTGTAATTATGCACTTACCCACTACTGTACATCAATTTAAAAGCAAAGGACTGTTGGGAAAACATCACCATCATCTCTCAGCTTGTAGGGCAGCAGGTGAGTGCATAACATACATTCTTTAATAGTGCCATTTATATTTACCTGTGGCAGAGAAACAGGCCTTATTAATGTTCCGTTTCACAGTAAATGCAAACTCAAAACGTCTTCCATGTTAACCTCTTGTCCTGATAAATTCAGTTTAATGTCGATTTCCACAGAACTAATTCTCTCAGTACAGCAACAGTCATTGTCAAGTCATGCTATGCTCCACTTTATGTTTCCCCCCTTAAAGGATTTTAAGCTACCATGAATGTAACTGAACACTTTTGTCAAGTTTTGTTGATGATGTCTTCACATTGGTCAGGAGTAGGGCAAAGATGGAACGAGTGGAATTCATTTCAGAAGGAAAACGTTATTTCTGTTAAAAAAGATGAATTGAGAGCAGCAGAGTGGTGAGTATAACAAAACTCTGTTTTTGTACTGATGGAATCAGTGCTGTGGACATTATACTTAATTTATCATGTGAGATGTTGTAGTGAGCGATGGGTAATTTTAACCTCATTGTTTTTATTTGTTCGTGTAATTCAGAGAGGGTAGAGAATTTTGCTGCAGGGTCTGTGTAGTACATTAAACGCATTACATTTTTGCAAGCACAGCATCAGAACTGAGTAGTATGAATTGGGCAGTTGGCACTTAATTCCCATACTAGTGTGTTCCTAAGAGTGGATAGTCCCACTTTCATCGCTGCACAGTCCCTGACTGACACAACTGTTTCCCTCGCTACTTACCCAACTTTTTCTTTCCTTACTTCTGTCCTGACCTAGCAGCAGTTTTACTTTTTCATTTTGACAGATCTTAACTGCCATTTCATCCTCATTTTCTTTTATGAGACAAAGTATCAGGTCGTTGCCCTACGGGTTTAACGCAACCTCTTACTTTCAGCTTCATCTACTTCAAAAATCCCTCCTGTTTCACCACATCTCAGGTCTAATCAAAGCTATTTTTGTAATCCATTTCAGTCCTCCCTTCATTTCCCGGCCCTCTTCCTCTTCTCAGTGTTGTTCTCAGGATTCTCTGCAGACTTGTGGTCAGGATGCCATGTGGCTTCTTTTCTGTTCTGCATCTTTGCTCTCCACCTCCGCCTGCTCTTTAGCCATTGTCCTGTCCTTCACCGCCCTCAGTAGGACCCTGAGCAGTGTGTTCTCGTTCAGCAGGTTTTCAGAGGTGTCTGCCAGCTCCTGCAGCCGCCTCACCGCTTCCCCAAGCTGCCTGCTTTTCTCCCGGTGCTGTTCCTCTAAGCTTTGCCTTTCTCGCTGCAGCTCTGCATTCTGCGCCTCTAAGCTGAGGGTGTCAAATTTTAGTCGTCGGTTGTCGCGCCACAGCTGCGCCAGCTGTTGGGAGAGACGTTCGCGGGCGTGATGCAGCGCTTGAACCTCATGCTGGAGTGCCAGAAACTCTGTACGGAAGATAGCACTGGGTCCTGGACCCTTTGCTTCACTAGAAGCCACTGGTTTGTCTGCATGTTGTACAGAGCCAGAGTGCTGCAGGATGAATTGAAGGAGGTTGGGTAGCGTGATGGGCAGGTCGTCAGGAAACTTCACACTAGAATGTTTTCTTGAAGAGAAGCAGAAACAGGGAAAATGATAGTGAAAAATCCTGCTGAAATTCACTATTATATAGTGGTGGAATATTTCTCCTTCGTAGCAAATCAATTTCCCCTTGGGGATAATAAAGTTAATAAATTAATTCATTATACAGAATGGAAGGTGATGTTTGTTGTCTGAGCAACAGTCCAAAACATTAAGATATTAAGTTTGCATTCACATAAGACAACAAAAATTAGCAAATCCTCAAGTCTGATAGGTAATGTTTTCTTGAAAAATTATCAAAATAATAGTTAGGAGCTCATTATTTTTCTGTTGATTTACTTTTTGATCATCGTTTCAGCTCTAAAGTGTACTCTGGTAATTGCAAGCCAAATGTCCAGGTATATATATAATGCAAATATGTGTGTGTTTGTGTGAATCTCCCTTACCTGTATTTGGGAAAGAGAAGAATAGAGGGAATATGATCCACCATAAATTCCCATGGAAGGTCATTACGTGCAACATTCACCCTACACAGACAAAATGTGGTTATATTATTTAAATTTGTTCTTAAAAAGGTTGGGCCACAGAACTAAGGTTGAATTGTTAATGAAAGTGTATTTTTTACAGACAGACACACAGTACTACCCACAATACCTGCATCAACACTCAAACATAAAACACACACATACCGTACCTGGCCACAGTGATGGTGCTGTTTCCCTGTAATAATCTGGCCAGCTGGATGATGATGTGGTTGAGAACAGAGCAAAATCCACACCACTGAGTGTAATAGAACAGCAGCACATCCTACAGGAGAAAACACACACACACACACAAATTTATATTTTTTATCCATAGCTCAAGTCCATGAACCTTTTACAATCTTCACACCAAACTGTGAGCAAATTGAGGACCTTGCTCAGCTATGTACTGCCCCTCTTCATAGAGTTACACTCATAGCTGTGAAGGTGGAGGGTATAAGGAAAAAAGGTTTAACTGTGGGAAGCTTTCACAAGTCTCATCTATCAGTCACCATCAAAACTGACACACCTTTGGCTCGCAGCGCTATTGTGTTATAGTATGCGCTGTAAATGCTAATCAAACAATGAGCGTGAGCTATGAAACACGTCCATCCATCATCTGTGACTAGGTCATAGTGGCAACAACAGGCTAAGCTGGTAGTCCAGACGTGCCTCTCCCCAGCAATATTTTCCAGCTCCTCCTGAGGTGTTCCCAAACTAGATGAATTACATAATCTTGCCAGCGTGTTTTAGGTCTACCCCGGGGTCTCCCACCAGTCGGACAAACCCAGAAAACCTCCAAAGGAAGGTGCTCTTCATCACCAAATTTAACTTCAGTAGACATTGTGCATTATTTGTATAATTTTATCATTTGAATTGCTTTGATTTAATATTATGTTTCTTCCATTGTCCAGTACATGTAAGAGGGCTGAATCCTTTACATGAATGGAAACAGAGTGGATATGGTGAGGGTGAAAGTCTTTTCTCACCTTTTGGAGATCCATGACAGATGGCAGGAAGGAGGAAGTGGTAAGTTCTGTGATGAGGGGGCGTGGATGTGAGTGCTGGTGATTGTCTGGATGACTGGATTCCCTCTGCCCTCCTTTCCTTTCTTCTTCTCCCACCAAGTATCTCTGCAAGAGGCTGTATGGAGCGCTGAAGTTCCTGATGAAGGCCTCTTTAATAAAAATCATGCAGAGAGACACACAATGAAACGAGACAATTGCTATTAGGATCATATTCAAATATCACTTTTTTAACCAACAGATATTCTATGAAGACAATATATTGACACTTAAAATATTGTTGTGGTGCCATAAATGGGGTCTTCTCGTCTCATTATATTTTAATGAGATAAAAGACATCACACACTAAATGTATAAAATAACAGCCTCATAAAACACAGTGGAGGCAGTGTAAGTTTAAGTTCCTTTGTAACACCGTAGAAAACAGTGGCACCCTGCACAGAATATCAGGACTCACAATTGCAGTCTCATCTTTTGATGACATTAAGCAATAAACAAGTAAATGCTGCCTGGTGTTTGAATATCACGGTGGACCAGACACACATGTAGAAAGGTTAAAGAGGTCATATTATGCTTTTGGCTTTTTCTTTCTCCTTTATTGAGTTATGTACCTTTTTTTGTGCATGGAATTGGTTTGCAAAGTGAAAAAGCCCAAAGTTCAGCCCAAAGGGAGTTCCCATCTCCCACAGAAAACTCTGCTATGAACTACCTGAAAACAGCTCGTTTGTAGTCCAGCCGTTTCGCTTTTCTTCTCTGTGACGTCACAGCAAAATGCGCGTCCTAATGCTCGCCTAGCGGCCAGTCTGACACGCCCTCAAAAACACCGGTGGAAAAACACTTTGAGCTGCGGCACACAGTGACACGACGTCAGCCTGCTGCCTCTCCTCTCCCGTCCAAACACTAACTACCCTCCAGGCAGTCAATGGACATAAGGTTGTTACTGTGATGTAGAGACAGAGCTCAGTTAAAACTTTATGGATGAAAAATACATTTGTTACAGATTAATAAGTCACCACTCAGAAACTCTTATTCCAGGCCATGTTGCTAAACTGGTAAGGGGAACATATACAGCTCAACCGAAGCCGTGTTTACCGGCTTCTCACTGACCCGCCCTACTCTGCTTCTGATTGGCTAGTAGTCTCTAACTAGGAACTGTGCACGTGCAACTCCCAACAAAGATCATTTAGAGACAAGATGTATCACTTCATAGCTAAAACAAAGCGTTCAACACAGGGTGAAAAGAGGAGCTGCAGCAATGTGCAGTAAGTAAACCTGTTCTGGTACAACCCCTAAATAGGATTTTGAACGTGTAAATGAGCATAATATGACCTCTTTAAAATGCCAAAAACAACATTGTTAAAGTTAAAACTTTCACTATGAAAAAAACTCATCCCATAGAACTTTAAAAAGATACAACACTCTGTTTCCAATTCATTGCAAATTTCATTATGGGGAAAAATAGAGCCGTAATGATTAATTGATTAGTTATCAACTTTTTAATTAATCGCCAACTATTTTGATGATCGGTTAATCCGTTTGAGTGTTTTTGTAAGACAAAAAGAAATGTTTCCAGCTTTTTAAATGTAAATATTTTCTGGTTTCTTTACTCCTTTATTACAGTAAACTAAATATCTTTGGGTTATGAACAAAATGATTTTCTTACATTTTATTGAGCATACAACTAATAAATTAACTGAGAAAAAAAAAAATCGACAGATTAAATCAACTATGGAAATAATTGTTGGTTGCAGCCCTAAGTGAAAACCTCTGTAGAGTATGAAAAAGATGATGAAACCAAACCAGATTAGCTACTCTGCACATATGCATAACATGCAAAACTGTTATTTGCCTAAGACATCTTTCATTAGTGATGTTTTGAATTTGCACCAACCTTTATACACAGAAGTGAATCTAAACATACGTGGTGACTACACACAAAATGGACATTCAATTTCCAGAATAAACATCACATATTTGTGAGTAGGCTCTACGCATGTCTACCAAAGTATACCTAAATCCATCAACAGGAGTAAACACAAAACTCAGAAATGTGTTTCTAAACTATAGCTGCATTCAACTTCACATCTACATCTACATTTGGAGTTTGAACGCTGTCCTAGTCTTACCCAGAGACTCAGTCAGTGTGGTTGCTGGGCTGCGGTGAAGAACATAATGAACCTCGTCTTTCAGGTTCACAATAGCTGCAAACGACCCGTCACTGCTCCAATCCCCTCGCGCACCAGCCTCCTGGTAAAGAGAAGCACTTCTGTTGCCTGTTGCTCCAAGCCTCATCGCCAGAGGCCAGTTCAGAGCAACATCCAGCACATAAAACCTGAGCGTCCTGTTGGTCTGACACCGGAGCCCTGTGATGCCGTCTCCTCCCTCCTGAGGGACAGAGGATGGAGGGATAGACGAAGGAGGACGCGGAAAGGGAACTCTTTGCATGTCTGGCTCCTCTTTGGCTTGTGAATCATTGCTGAGTTCTACTTTTTTGCAGCAGGCACTGTATTGACTGAATGGGCTGTAGCTGTTCAGGAAGTTGGTACAGCCCACTGTGGTTGCAGTGTTTATGGACACGGGGGCAGGTAGTTGGTGTAGGCAACAGTGTCTGAGATTAGACCGCAACACGTCTCCTCCCTGAGTCATGGAGGGGAACGAGCAACGTATAGACGAGCTGGTCAGGCTCGATCGTGACAAGCTTAGGCACACCTCACACACATTTGTACTCGACTCTGGCAGAGGAACTGTTTGGCAGCACAGCGAGTGGGAAGTGAAACTTTTGTCCAGGCTGGAGTGGTTATTGTTGTCACAGGAATGATAACGCACAGCAATGTCCGCAACCTGAAAGACAAAAGAAACAAAGTAATAATAATGATAATGATAATAATAATGTAATCAACAAAAATTTATGTTTTTTAAATTAATTCTATAATTAACTGACAGCCACTGAGATAAGGGGGAGGTGGACACGCTTCCTTAAATTTGTTAAGATCTTTGCTGCCGCATGATGAACAAACTACAATCGAGAAAGGAATTTGGCTTACATATAACTAAATTGAGTTATAGTAGTGTAAAATAAAGGCATGGATACCTTCCTCCAGGTCAGCAGCGGAGAAAACAGGACTGTACAACTTTTTTGACTTGTTCATCAAAACTCAGGTTACAGTTGAATAGAGCTCTCATATTCTTAGCTATACGTTTAACATTCATTGACAGCCAAGGTTAATACAGATGAGCTGAATGTGGTTGAGCGGACCTAATATGATCCCTGATTTACTGTCATTTAGCTGAAGGATAACCGTTGGACATGCAGCACTTGCTGTTATTATTGCCAGGTAAGGCAAGTTTATTTGTATAGCACCTTTCAACAACATGACAATTCAAAGTGCTAGGACAGAAACCCATTTAGGAAGGATATCAAATAAACAAGGCAATGTAAAAAGACAATATAAAGACACACACATCGATAGGATTTTAAAAAATGTTTTAAAAAAAATAAAATGCAAGATAAAATCAAGCTAAACTACATTCAACAAATCAAACAGTGGAATAAATATTAAAGTGCAGCTAGAGTGCAATGCAAGATATGACTGTCCCAAATTTAAGTTTTATAGACACCTAATCCAAATTCCTCATGTGTGAAATACTAATTGGCCAAAAACCTCTTCTTGATTCTGAAAGCCCCAATTTGGAGCAGATCTAAAGTTTTCTGAGAGTTTGTTCCAGATATATGGTGCATAAAAACTACTATAAAAAATACTGACTAATGTCTCAAGAAGCATGTAAACAGAAGACAGCTGTGGACCTTACACTGATTGCTGTGGCTCACCACAAGTGAGACAGAAAGTAGAGGGTGACGCATGAAGCAGCCTACCCATCTCCAGACAAAGACGCTTTGGTCCATTGTATCAAATACAACACCAAGCTCAATTACTGGAAGTCAGTGACAGAGAATTTTTTGTTCACCCTCTGTTATTTTTTCCATCCCTACTCACCTGCTGTAGTATAGGATTGGGCTTGGACCCGAGTGGATTGTGCGGCAGGAACAGCAGCAGGGCAGGACCTTTAGTCAGCTCATGTTCCAGGAGGCGGGACTTTGTTCCCGGTGGCTGAAGCCAATGGAGGACGGTCTCTTGGTGTTCAAACACCCAGCTACAGATGGCCTCGGATGTAAAGTTGCGTTCCCTTCGAGGGAAAATCTGACAGAAGAAAACACACAGCACGATGCCGGGGAAATCCTTTAGTATACATCCAAAATTATAGTAAAATGTATTCAGCATTTCATTACATTTTCTTATCCAGTGTTTTATGTACCGCTTATCATGGACGCATGATGTCTTTGCTTACCAAAGAGGAGTTTAATCTTCTGTACAGGTATACTGTTTCATCTTCTTTAAGTGAGATGGCCCCTGCCACCTGTTTGTTGGTCACAACCCCGAAACGCACAACACCACGGAAATCTGCATCAGAAAACCAAACAGACTCAGGGCTGAAGATTGAAAAAGTTTCTGTCCTTTCTATCCTCACTTACAATACATGTGATAATGCGATCAGCAAGCAAACACATACACAAGTCTGCACACTCTAAATAGACATTAACCACTGGCTTCAGTGCTGTGTGATCACAACTTACCCCTTTTCAGTGCGTGCAAGGCAGATGACAGATATGTAATGTAACCCGGCGGCTGAGGAGAAGAGTTAAACTGGAAAAAACCCACCACTCGAGGCTTGAAATACACAAGAGACAGATAATTAAAATATATCATGTGGAAATAAAGCCTTATTCAAAGAAGATACCTATGTAATAAATTTCAAAAACTCTCATGTCACTCCTTGAGCTAATATTGGCAACTGTCTTAACACACACATTAAGGAATAAACTTTGTGAGTCGTCTGCCAACTTTCCATCAAATGACCCAAAGGCAAATGATACCTCGTGATAGGAGAGGAACTCTTGTAGTGTTGCTCTTGATGGGAGGTAAGTGAGCGGTGTGATGACTCTGAGGATAAAATTTTCCACATATTGAGCCACAAATGGACCCTTGTACTCTATAGGCCCAAACCTGCAGCATAGAAACACAAAGGCAAATAAATTAACATCTCAACTGTATCAGTTCCGATGCTCATCATCAACAGTGTCCGTCTGTTTCTTCTTCGATATCTGTGCAGTGTCATGTGTGACGCGTTTCTCGAGTAAGCTGCCAGCAGCAATATTCCAGCCCAAGCAATTGGCCTGTTCTGAACAGGCACATTTTGAATGGGCACTGCACTAATAACTTTAACGAGTGTTGCCATTGTTAAGGCTGAGAAGCATCAGGATTCGACCACCCCTGTTTCCAGTTTCTTAAATGTGAGTATTTGCTGCTTTTCTATCTTTTACATCATTGTAAATTTAATATTTTTGGGTTTTGGACTGTTGGTCAGACACAACCAGTTTTTTGAAGATGTCATATTGGGCTCTGGGAAATTGTGGGGCGTTTTGATGCAAGGATGACTCTTTTTTTGTGTAGTTTTGTGTTAAACTACAAAAACCCCAAGATGAATCAATATTGAAAATAACGGTTTGTGCAAACACTCCTCTGCTTCACTTCCGGTGTTACTGTAGCTGCTTCCATTGGAGACATTAGATGTTCCTAATTATGTCTGCCCATGTAAGGGTTAACAATTTTGAATTTCTAGTCCCTCACATTTGGAAAATGCATTTGGAAAACAACAAATAAAACTCCTAAAAACATTACAGTCCATTAATAAAGTAAGCTACAGTAGACCAGCCCAATGTTCTCTCTAAGATCCTGCATACATCACACTAATGACAGCAAAGCTGTAAAGAAAAATGCACAAGAGTTAAAAAAAGAAAAAAAAGAAAGTCAGTAAGAAAATACAATACAAGCTGACTGGAGGGCTGTTCTAAGCCTGTCCTTCAAAATATAATTTAACCCAAAAACAGAAAAGGAGTTTAAGAATAATATCTTATTTTTATTTTGCCAACAATAGATTGATAGATTTGTAGTTAACAAAAAACGATGGCAGTTTTTTTACAATATTTTTGGGCATTTTAAGCCTTCATTAGAAAGTCCGACAGAATAATGGCGAGTAATGGGGAATAACAAACTAACTAGCTGGAACCAGGGACGCTGTGATTCATTGTCAGCACCCTTAAACTCAAAGACCACCAGGGAGCCCTAATATTTTCTAGGGAAGTGAATGACTTACATTACAAAAATATGCAGCTAAAGACTAGTCATAAAGTGCAAAGATGTTCAGTAGCCCGAATTGTAAAAGTCACAGTCGTGCTGATCGGTTCCATAGTTTTTCATGCGTCACCATCTACCATTTCAGATAAATACAAATAACTTTAAAAAGGATGAGTGTTCTCTGTCTTACCTTCTGTAAAACAGATGGATGATCGGATACTGATAGAAGCGGTTTTGCCTCCTGCATTTCCCCTGACTCCACCAGCAGTTAACAGCCACAAACTGCACCTGTGTGCGTGTGTGTTAGAGTGAGAGAAAGAAATAAACAAAACTATTTCCAGACCACAGACAGTGCATGGTGTATAAGTAAGTCATGTATGAGATCAGCCATTATTCTGTCTCATTTACATTTCAAATAAGCCCCCAAAAGATGCACCTGATGAATTACAACCCAACAGTCAGAGATGCTGTCTAATTTTAAATTATTTCTCTAAAGTTACCTTACAAATGCTACTTTTTCTTAGCACTTAATAACAAGCCCCTATTTTATGGAGTCCAAGAAGCTATATTTACTTGTCTATATGTTTAAAGTGTCTTTGTAAGTTGAATAGCAAGCCCTAGTTTTTTTTGTTACCTTGTCAGTAGTTATCAGATAAGGTGTCAGTTAAGGTTGCTAAAATAAGTAATCCTTTCAGAGTGATTGTTGTGCCCTCAGGTGTTCTGTACCTGTTTGGCCAGCTTTTTAGCCACCTGCTGCACTTCATGACGGGCAGTCATTGAGTGAGCACACCACGGTGCATAGAAAAAGATGAGAGATACTTCTGCCACACTCCTGAGACGCTCCACCTGGAGAGAAAAGATGTTGACATGTTATAGACTTTACAACTATCCTGGATGGTAATTCTGTTTATGTTTAAAGTTTGATCTTGAATTTATTACTACCACGGACTAACACTTATAGATTTAATAATGTCTAATGAGGGAAATTCCAGTAACACCCAGTTTGTGATAACATGTTTAGCATCAGGTGTCTTTGAATCTCACCTGGTCCAGCTGACCCAGATAGAGGTCCACCACAGGGGCCTCAGCAGAGAAGAACCGCACTGGAGGACGGGCTGCTGCCACCACATTCTTAGCCCGGCTGCAGAAAGAAATGATTGTGAATCAGAAATCATACTAACACCAAAATTAAGTTTCCTGCACCTTGTTTTTATGGAGCAAAACTGCGACAGTCAAGAGGCAGAGAGTGTCTGAGATCATTTGTCTGCAATTTGCTTAAAGTTTCAGTCTTCCCATGTGTAATCTCTGCAGCTGGGATCACTGATCATTCAACAATTTTGATAACCTAGTATTAGTTTAAATAATTTAGTTAGCAAATGACATAAAACTATCTGCTTTGCTTTGTATGTTTGCTTTCTGCTGTAAATTGAATCCATTTAGGTTTGGACAGTTAGTCAGACAAAACAAAACATTTGGAGATATCACCTTGGGCTTCGAGTGATTTGTGATGGGAACCTTTTTTACAATTTTCTGATATTTTATAGAATAAATGAGAAGCGCTTTGAGATCATCTGCGTAATATAATGACGACCCAAATGGTTTACAGCAGCAAACAAATTAATATTTTCATTACTGACTACTCTGCCAATAATTATTTCGGTTTATCATTTGGTCTATAAAATGTTAAGCAAAAAGTGTCCATAATAATTTCCCAAAGGTCTTCAAAATTCTTGTTTTGTCCAACAAACCGTCCAAAACCCAATGATATTCATTTGTTGTGCTATCATGCGTGACAGGGAAAAACAGCAAATCCTCTGGTTTGAGAAGCTGAAACTAGAGAATGTTTGTCATTATTGCTTGATTAATAAAGTCAATTGATTGATGGCTTGATCACCCTAATTGAAAGTTAATTTTCTGTAGATTGACTCCTCAATTAATTGACTTCTTGGTTTAGCTCTATAGATGTTGCTGGTAATACTTTTGTACTTACAGTCTCTACTTAAGTGATATTGTGAATAGAGTGCTTTTACTTGTAATGAAGAAATAATATTGCTAGTTTTACTTAATTAAACGAGTTCAATACTTTTTCCACCACTACTGTATAGGAAGCAAGAGGTCTCTGAGATCATTTGTCTGCAATTTCCTTAAAGTTTCAGTTTCCAACGCTGGGGTCACTGGAAGATGAGTGTGTGCTGTTACACTGTATTCGGGGTAATTTACAAATACAGATTAATAAAATCCTGACACTGAAGGAATAATAAACAGTTACACTCCTGGATTAATTTAGTCACAGTCTGTTCAAACGGTTTGAAGAAATGGTTAATCCTCTTGTCCTCTACAGTACACACATGTTTCAGATCAGCTGCACAGCGTAATGAAGACTGATTGGTTTCAAGAAACTACATTAATGTTAGCAAGTATAACTAATTTACGACTTACTAATGCTACGACAACACTTATCGCTCAGAAAAGTTATCAGTTTGTTCAGTCGTCATGTTCAGGTTTAATGTTAGCCTGATCACAAAAACAAGCTTACACTAGCAATATATAATATGATGTACACAGGAGCCGCTCTGGTTTTCGCTGCTGGCTGTTACCTGCATGTGAACTTCACGGCCAGTATGAGCAGGACGCCGAGCACGATAGCCCCGCACAGAAGACCCGGTCTCCGGGCCATCAGAAACAGCACCTGCCGGAGAGACTGCCGCACCCGGCGCAGCATTACAGGCTGTCGTCGGCTCTCCGTCCCATTTATACGCCCTGGCTGCTGCTCAACGCATCCATTTGCCTACCGGGGGGCGGAAAACTGGTTCGACAGGGGACAGAGCTAACCTGGATTGGACATCGGTGCTGTTGGTGTGTAGGATATTCAAACACGGTCAGACCAACCTTTCTTCCCCACGTAGACTTTTCACTTCCGCAACAATGACGTAAGGGAGAGACTGTAAAGTACTGTCGGCGGTTTAAAACGGTACATTTAATAATGTTTAATAATGTAAAAGTTGAATTGATAGTTACACAGGCTGATGTTAAAACGAAGGAAACCGGTTTAAGTACGCAATATATTTTAATTTGTCCATAATGACTGTGTTTATAGTTATTTTTGCGTATGGAGTCTTATGTGCTGTTGTGAGACAGCCCCTACGTTGTTATAGCCACAGCAATTGCTGCTATGACGGCTGCTGAACACCAGATGGCGGTCTTTTGAATATTTTTAACACGTCTCAACAAACAGGTTTACGATTTAACTACTTTACGTTACCTACATGCTAATAAACATACTAAACATGAAAACACATACGTATTTTTCCTTAGTTATACATAATAGTTAACAATTGTTAACATATCGTATCCTTTAGCAATATCTTCTTAAGCACAAATATGCAGTAAATTACTAGGTACTATTATTGTAGTTACATTGTAGAATCATTAGGCTACAGTCACTAGTCAGTTTTTTTTTAATTCTATTTTATTTAGTCTGTTTTAGTTATTGTGTATAATATGGCATTTTCGTTTCATTTGTGTCTTAGAAACACCCCTATCTTCCTATCAGAATTGGAGACCAATGCACACAAGAACGTCAAATAAAACAATAAACACACAAAAGGTCAATAAAACATATAAAACAAGAGAACAATAAGAATCAAAATTAAATTATGGCAACAAAATATTTTAATCAAAAGCAAAGCCAAAAATCGACGTTTTTTTTTTAAAACTTCATCAAATTTTACATGAAGTAGTAATATGGTTTTATTGTCATCTGTATAGGAACTACAAATCTATACTGTGAAGTGCCAAGACACAAAATTCACAATATGCAGTTTATAAATGATACCAGTAACACATAGTTTCGACTTCATCTTGAAATACACACTAGGCACTATATTAGACATTATTGACACTTGCAATATAGACAGTATTTAACCTGAGGAACCCATTAACCCATAGGACCTAATTAATACTATTTATAGATTCATTAACCTACTGGTGAGCTGATCTGATCCAGGAACATTTTAATGGTTTAGCATAACAGGCGGAGATGTTGTAAGTTAAATATAGTAGTAAATATATATTTGTAATAGTAATAATACAAAGAGGGAAAATAGAGGAGTGATATTTTGGATATGGGCTCAGTATTGTAATGTTCATAATATAAGCTACATATAGTAGCTTTAGAAATTTTAATTTCTTAATTTTATGTAAATTATTCAATTTCACATTTAAACGGTCTAGGAACTACAACATCATCAATAAAACAAATCCACACAACATGATAGCATTATTTAAAAATCTTTATTTTTTCCCTTTGTCATTACAGAACATTGAAGAACAAAAATCACAGTGTAGAACTTTTAAGTGCAAAAGAACTATGTAAAAAATAAAAAGTCTTTGATTATCTCTACCCGCACATAACATGGAAATGGATACTGCAAACAAGTTTTTAAACGATACAAAAAAAAGTGCAACATAATATTTGTAAGCAGTACCAGCAAATAAAATCGGTGATGAACAGTTTCTCCATAAAAATCATAAAAATTTAAGATCTGTCTCGGCATCTTAAAAAAATACAAGTGCCACATGTATTGTGAAATGTTTTTGTTTTTCCTTGAATCAACTGTAAATCCTGATGTCCCCACCAGGATGCAGAACTACAAACCTCAACATTTGACACATTTCACAAACATGTTACCAAACCTCGTAGAGTGAATATTCAAACAGCTCTGTAGCACCAACTTCACAGTCAAAGCCCGAACCAGTCTGAAGACCCATAGAAAATACTCTAATAATACTGCTTCATTCAAACTGATACTTTCAAGCAACATTTGCTAATTTAACTGCTTGTGGATTACACACACACACACGTATGTATATATATACACAAAACAATGTGTGCCTATTCACCTTAAGTAGCCAAGTCAGTATATGCATTAAGAAAAGCTCACTTTTGAACGGACTACAGCCATATTGGTGCTACAAAACTGTCAGAAAACTCCTGTCTTCACTACCACCAGTGTTGGAACGTCACGATTTTTAATTTGCATAACTGCCCTCTGGACCATTTAGGCAATGTGGTTTGTGAATGCACAGTGCACGCAGAGAGGGATCACTGCAGTAATTTCTCCTAATCTATAACATCACAGTCATTTCACTCTCTCTCATCTTGTTGGTTTTTGTTTCTCCTAAAATAGCTCAATGCCTCTCTTTTTATCACGTGGCAAACATCCAGCAGAGACAAGACAGGAAGCGAGAAAACTTCCTATCCAACAGCAAATAAGCCAGTCTCAATTGAGTTTACTGCTAAAAATGAACACATCTCCTCTACAGCAACTGGAATCCTGGCTATTTTATTTGCTGTGAACTGTACGGTATTAGTTGGGCACTGACTACATGCAGTTGGCTAGAGTGCCTGCGTTTCTGGGTGCATTAGCTGCTGCACCACCAGGTCTATATTAATGATGGGACTGAAGTAGAGAGCCCAGTAGAAGAGGCAGTTGCACACAAACTGAGGGACAAAAGGCCACAGGATGGCAAAGGCAAACCCCTGAGATAACATCTTCCACAAGTGGTTCCACATCTTGCGTGGCAGAGTCCTAAAGAAAGTGGAAGATATAAATTAGTGTGTGTAACATGCTTAACTTAATTACATTACCCAGTAATGTTTAAGTAGTGTAGGACACATTAAGCAATATTTCCAGTAGTGAACCATTTATTCCACTAAGTAGTGAGGAAGCTCGACCAAACGGTACATTTTAATTTTCTCTTTTAAAAACAGAGAAATTAGTGTTCTGCATCATACAGTCTGTGCTTCGAGAGAGGTCATAGCACCAAAGGTTTATGGTGTTCTCAGACAGCAAGTGGTTGCAACACAATGTTCTGTTCACAGCTACCGACAATCGTACCAGGGCTCGTAGAGACGCTGCAAAAGCCATGAAATTTTATTTGACTTAACTCAAGAAAAAGATAGATATGGACACAAACGGCAAGTGTTGGGCACTCGCGATCCATATACAGCACCCGCTGCCGTATTTCTCCCGTTAAAAACCACCAGGTCCCTGCCAGCGCTCAACTGCTGTAGCCTAATGTTTACGTTTACCTTGTAGGGAATCCCTCACCTAACATCAATCAATCGTCAATTAGTGCATCCGAAAGCACAACAACCATCCAGCGTTTTGGCAACGTAAAAGTAACAAACTCAAAGTAACAGTGTATCACTTGCTTCTTGGTTGGCGGCCAGCAGAAAATAACATATTTTTTGCCCTCCAAGAGAGCGTTTTCCTTGGAATATGACGTCACGTGAAAACTATGAATTGAGGCGGCAGTGGCAATCCCTCACTGTCTGAAAGCACCTTTACAAGTTCTTAAAAGTTTAGGTTATGGGAAGCTCTGGCTTGTGTGTATATTACAAAGAGGAAGAAAATAAATAAATAACGCGGGAACTACCTGATCCTGGCTCTTGTCCAGAGTGTCCACAGGGCGCAGCCCTCCAGCACAGACAGCAGCATGGCATTAACAATAATGAAGCGAGATGTCCAGTAGTGGATGGCCAGCCAGTCCCAAGCAAACTCTGCTATCAGTTGGTATGGAAGCAGGAGGTACTTTACAAGAAACTCTGCCCACTGCCGCCAACTGGGCTCCAACTACAAAACACAGGAGCATGACAGGAAACATGAGATGACAGTAGAGACGTGTTTTTAAACAACTAAAAACTTTTTTCAAGTAAATCACCGTTAATCTGTGATACAAAGAAAATCTTCAACCTCAATAGGCACAGTATGGTCTTATTAAATGCAGGTTAACAATCCGATTAAATTAAGATAATTCTAGTAGTGTCATTATTACCCATCATTGTCACCATAATGCCTTTTTTAAATTAGTATTTTACCTTTAGATACACACTCTTGATACTGCATTAGCTGGCAGTTTGCAAAATGTTACCTGTGTGTTGAGGAAGCTGCTCTCCATTGACTTGTCGATATTTGCGATGGCCGGACAGCAGGTATGCAGGAAGGGCAGGAAGGTTTCCGAGTAGTCGAATAAATACAAATAGAAGAGTGTAAGACGAGGGGAGCGCTTCAGTGCATACAGCAGGAACAGAGACTTCCCAGCATTAGCAGCCTGGCAGAAAGTGAAAAAAATGCAAGTACTCACAATAAGAGGACTCATTTGGTTGTACAAATCAACACACTGACTGTAGTCTCAGTTCTTTAAAATCTCAAGTATGGAGAAGACTGTGGCGCACCACTAAATGCAAAGGTCACATCCTTAAATACACGTTAAGACTATCTAGTATATGCTACTGTAGTGGAGGTGGAAGCAAAACAAGACAAAACATGTTCCCAGGTATTGTACCGTCCAATATATCAACTTCATATTTAATTATGTAAAGATTAAAATAAATTCTGAAAGTGCTAACAGCATGGGAAGTTAACTACAGTAGGACAAATATTTACAAACAAAAGATGCAAAATTCAATACATTAAAAAGGGTTTAGATAAGCGGTTTCTTCTTAGGATAATCAAATTTCTGAAGCAGACCAGAATCTGTATTACGTTACCTTGTATTCCCAGAGGTTCTGCGGAGGTTTGACCCCCAGGGTTTTAACTCTGTCCAGTTCAGCCAGAACAGCCCTTCGGTGAGCCTGATTCTCAATGTTGTAAGGAAGTTTTAATAACTCTTCATCTCCCAGCATCAACAGCAGCCTAAAGCGAAGAAATCAACACCATATGGCATGAACATAATGATCCACAACAAGAGCTTCTGTGTTCTGCTCTGTAATGTTACAGAAGTCTGTCAAAGTCTACTACAGTTGAAAGATGAAAATATGTTGCATAAATATGGCTCAACTCAGTTCTATTTCATAAGGTAATGTTTCAAAATCAGGACAAGGAGCACAAACAATCTTTACGATGAAATAAAATTTGTAATAGGTAACTTATCTACCTCCCATTGACGTTCTCCTGCTGGAAGGACTCTCTGTAAAGCTGGGCCCATGGCCCCAAGTGTTCCAGCCAGGACACGACTTCCTCCGGCGTCCAGCGAGACACGGGTTTACTGATCAACGGGTCATACTGCTCCACCACACCACTGCTCCAGTGATACACCAGCACCATCACCTGGAAACACACAGATATTAAACAAGTGAACACTTGTTTACTTAATGCCAAACCAAGGTGACCTATATATAGAGAGAAAATATTTAGTTCATAAAGCTGTTGTTGGTGAGGAGTAAGGGAACGGGTTTGCATGGTGGCTGGACTCCCTCATAGTGGTCACTAGTCACACAGTGGTGGTTCACAGCTCTGGTTTAGCCTCCAGTACATCACAACTAAAAATACAGTATAAATCTGCTCTTACATTTAAGTATGATTTGATCAAAATTGCTATGCTAAGGATTTTATCATATTCATGTTACATTTTTATAAACACTGAATTACTCATTCTCATCTCCTTCAATTTCCTCTGGCGGCTGTTCCGCCAGTGTATGAATGTGTGTGAATGTTAGTTTCTGTTTGAGCACTTGGGCTCAGTGAATGAATGGTGAATGCAGATGTAGTGTAAAAGCGCTTTGAGTGGTCGAAAAGACTAGAAAGGCGCTATACAAATACGGAGCATTTACATTTTATGTGCATTTAATATTCTGTGTCAAAATACTGAAAAAAATATTCCTAAATATTTCTGCCATGCAGGACAATTTGCCGCCACTGCTGTAAAACTCTACATCTCAAAATTCTCCATTTAACACCATGATGGCATCTCAGTAAAAAAAAACAACAACAAAAAAAATCTCCTCCTTGGTAAACTGTGCATAATACGTGTAAATGTGTGATACATCTTTGCATGGATAAAGCCAACATCTTCATTTCAATAAAGTAAGTGCAGGGGAGAACTGAATGCACTTACTAAATATTCTCGGCCAAAAAAATATCCAATGTGTTGTTCTAAAGTTTAGAAGAGCTGTAAAGAGGAAACTTAAATATCTTTAGATTTTTAGAAAACAAAAGGGGAGGACATGAGTGAGCGTGAGTCTAAAGAAAAGGTCGTCCCAGACAAGCAAGGGATTGGTAGGAGTGGTCACATTAACCCACTGTACCTTAAGATGTTAATACATGTAAATACTAATTCAATTGAAATTGGAAGTCGGCTTTAAATTACAATGACCAGGAATTTTCTTTCATTGTTTTTTTCCCCTTATGATGACACATTTTGGTTAATCAGCTTCAGTTACTTAATAATACTCAGTTTCCAGGCCAAATACAAACCCAAAGCATCCAAAACTAACAAAAGCTTTGCACCGCTCCTAAAATGACCTGACTCAATAATAATATGCATTAATGAACTGGGGTCAAAAACAGGACCATGCTGTAAACCATTTACATGTTCCCAACAGCGCGCGCACACACAAATTCACTGCCACGTGGCAAGACACACAGTGACGTTGCTCCCGAGTGCCTCATGGACAAAATAAACATGATCTGTCTATGTGATATGAACAACAGACCTTTTCATCCACTAGTGTGGTAACCTTTAAATATCACACACCACTGTTGTTGAAACCCATCCGGTTAAAATATACAACAACCCAAAAATACAGTCATTGAATAAATTATTTAATTATTATTTAAATGCAATTGAAATAAACAGTGTAGGTTATAAAAATTCACTCTAATGGTATCTTTTGTTATATCATGGAGTAAAAAAGTGGGCATAAGGAAAAATTTGTCTTGTGACATTATAAATTACAAAATAACATTGATGACGCATAACTGCAAAGTAAGAATGGACCAATTGGATACTGATAATGATCGTCAATATGAGCTTAAACCCCAGACTGCATACTGTATTGTATGTAATCTTATTTACAATCCAATAAGGCAAACTGATTAAACTTAGCATTATGTTGCTCAAAATTTCATTTTATTGTATTTATAAACACTTTTTAAGCATAACACCTTATAATGACTGTCACAGAAAAATAGGTTTCTGTACCAAACCTTTTCAAGAGGCATCATAATTTACATTTCACAAGACAGAAAACTGTGTTCAACTGAGTTTAGGTAAGTCCCGAAGAGCTCTTACTTTAACTTGTTATCGCTTGGATTACTGTGTGCCTCATCAATAAATCAATCCATCACCATCAAAACCTGATGATTCTTGATAAAGCTCAAAAACTGCTATGTTAACACGGTCAACGGCACATGATAGGCAGGTGGAAAAGCAGCTACTAACCATAGCATCAGTCTTGAGGTTTGTTATCATTTGAGATAATACTGCACAAGATAATATGGTAAAGATCAAGAGTTTGACTTTTTACTGCCAATGTATACTTACAGCAACACACGTGAGTGCAGTTAGGACTCCAGAAAAGAAGAAGCCTGCTCCTTTGTGCTGGTTTGTCCTGGATCTACCCAAGTTATCACCATACCTAAAGACATACAGATATTTAAAAGGAAGGGCATGTAATTCTGGAGAAATCCAATACTGTGATATAGAGTGAACAATGACACAGCACATAATGAAACTAACGTTAGCCAAGTTGTGGGTTAGCAAACTATTGTTACAGTTGCTGTGAAGCTAACATGCAGAGAGGACGAGACAGTCCTAGAGCCAGCACACCAGCTCCGGACAGACATCATGGCCGGAATAGCTGGAATAGTAAAGTGTGGTGTGGTCCAATCCACTTTGTTTGTTTCCCCATTTACAGAGCCAGAGCTGTGTACCAACACCAGATTTTTTTGCGCACACATAAAAAACAGCTAGCGGACTGTGAGGACATATTCACTTAATTTCACAAAAAGATGTGTAGTGGATTAGAATTGCATAACCCACCTTTAATGGAAGCCAGCTCCTTTGCCCCGGCCAACAAAAGGTATCAAATACAAGTGAACAGATTAGGGGTGTAACGGTACATGTATTCGTACCAGACCGTTTTAGAACAGGACTTTCGGAACAGTGCACATGTGCACCGAATGCAGTCTTTAACGTCATATATTAGGCTTGTTTTGTGTGTGGAACAGAGGTTAATTCCGAGTTGCCACACGGACATATTAAGTGGTAGACCAAATCTCCGCCTTATGGCACTACACAAACAGACGCTTTGGCCCAGCCCCTCGCTAACTAGTCACTTAAGCATCACGGCCAGTGCAGAGAAGCCAGAGCTTGAAGACCCTCCCTTATTGTTAAGGTCTTCTGTTTGGGAACATTTCAATTTCCTAGTGAAATGCAACAACGGACAAGTCGATAAGACGAAAGCAGTGTGCCGACATTTCTCAGTAGTGAGTAGGTATGTTTCTGGCAACACGTCAAAGTTGCTAACTCACCAATGGTATCATACGAAGGAGAACTTCACTGCAACAAGGGAAAAAAACAAATTTGATGCTTCGAATGGTCAACAATAAGCCTCAAGTTTAGCTTCGGCTCGCAATTGCCGTGCACAAACACACACGATTCGACTATAGGCAGGACTTAATGATTCTGATTCGACTATGTAAATCTTTAGACGGGGACAGCCCTAGTGCAGCAGTATTTCTTGTTCTTTTTTATTGTATATAATTTATTTATTATGTGTAATTTGGAAGTTTGTTTAAATTGTAAAGTAATATGGATGTTTACAAAAGTTCATAATAAACCAGCAGCATTTTAATGTTTGCATTTTTTCCCCCCTTACTGTACTGAAAATAAACCGAACTGTGACTTCAAAACCGAGGTACGTACCGAACTGAGTTTTTTGTGTACCGTTACACCCTTAGAACAGATCAGACACAAGGGACATTCACGGGGATAACAAAAAAGAGAAACTCCACCAAGTCTGTTTACATTCATTGTAGGTAATGTGCAGGGTAGGACAGATTGTGACAAGGAAGAGGAAATCTCTGGTTTTGCTGTGTCAATTTGGATTCTTTTTGTTTTAAACGTAAATCTCACAATCTTATCAGTGGAGTACTCCTTCAGTGTATACTAAGCTCACACACTATTCCAAGGTTTACAGCAAAACTAACACGTAGCATAGATTATACTGTACTACCTTTGGAAGGCCAGCAAGCTGCGGGAGATTTTGGGGTTAGTCTGGATCTCTGCTTTCCTCCGCTCAACGACCTCACTGAACAGCTTCTCAGTTGCATCCCTATAAAAAAAGAGCATCATGTTCAGAAGTGAAAGTAGTGGATGAAAGTTAAATGTACAACTAGAAAACAAACAGGGGAAGGCGTGAAGGCTTGGGGTTTTTGGGTTTTTCTTTAGCACCAACTAACCTAGTCCGTCGGTGAGCAGTAAACAGTCAGCACTAACGTAACTAACTGATGTAATTATTTATGTGTTGAATTTGACCCGACTGTGTCCGCCTCTTAAACATTTGAAACATTACTTCCTTGGTACAACCTATTTAGGCAAGTGAAAACACCATTTGCAGGACTAAAACACTGTGTGCACAAGCAGTAGTCTGTAGTCTTAGAGATCTTGTCATTTATGGCCCACCTCTCTCTAGAAGCAGGAACCTGCTGGCAGTGAATCACAGCAGCAGCAGAGGGAGGAGGAATATACACTCAGTATTTTGATGTCAAATTATTTATTTTACTGACATTTTAGCATTGTTTCCAGCCAGATATGTTGAGTGTATATAGTGACATTGCTGACTTTACTGTTGCGGTTATAGAAATAATATGTAGTTATACAAAAACAAAACAAAAAAAACCCAATTCTTTAGTAATGAAAAAGAACCGGTAAGAGTATTGATAAAGCCAGGAACCAAACTCAAGTCATGCCCAACTAAATGGGTAACTCAGTTGGCATAGTAATGAAAGATCGGCTGGATATGGAGGAGTCAAAGAAATGCTTGCTCGACTGGAGACAAGTCATAAATCAGGATTATAATACAATCATGTACATGGAGTAGGGATGCACCGAAATGAAAATTCTTGGCCGAAGCCAAAACAGAATGAAAAAAATTTGCCGAATACCCAAAAAGTACATTCACATTTCTTCCCATTTATTTTTCCATTTTTTACCATTGCATAATTTTTACTCAGTGTTTCCCACAAAGAACCGAGGGTCTGATAAAGTAAATTACATGTCTCTATTTACTTTTAATGGTCACATATGTTTTATACTTTCTGTGAATTTAATCCAATTAATATTATTTCCATACTGTCTGGGTGTCTTATTTTGAAAACCGGACATTGTCACATGTGTATCATCACGCTACATTCATCAAGTCCGACCCAATTTGATAAATAATGTTGTATGTGGCTCTTGTATCGTGTAACATGAAGACTTCACAGCCTCTCTTCAGGCAGAACTCTCATATTGCAAAACTTGTCTTTATAAAAGAGACACACTGACAGGATAAAGTCGCTAACCTCTCTGTCAGCTCGCACTGGTCCCTTTCAGTGGATTTACCATAAAGCCTTGACAACGTGTGCACTCCAAATTTAGGTGCGATCAGCTTAATCGCCTTCTCAAAAACGAGTGAGAGAAACACTCAGAACGGGTCAGACCGTTTGTTGCCTTTTCTAAGAAGTCAGCCACAGATGGTGTGGATGTGCAAGGAGACAATTCAGCAGAACAGTATCTGCAAACAGCAAGTTTTGCATCTTTATTGGACACTTCACAGTCTTCCACACTGCCTACATGTAGACGTAATTGTTCAGTAAAATTTATTCGGTCTTTTGTCTTATTAGGCCTAACACCAAAAGTGCTTTTTTTTTTGCTATTTTCGGCCGATTAATTTTGGTGGGCGAACATTCGGTGCATCTATAACATGGAGAGCTAAATAACCAGGTTTCTCTTTCGTTAATTTGCCAATTGTAAAACTGTGTTTTATTTAGAAAGTTCTATTACAGCTGCTAGTGTTTATACAATACTAAAAACTATAGCTTCTTTGTAGAAACACTGGTTTATATTCCCCAAAGTAAGGCAATGTTTTGGTATTGACACTTACACTAGTATTGCATTACAAAATATTAAATAATATCCAGCCCTAGCTACATGGAGGTGTATTTGAACCATACTGTAACACACACACACTTGTCATTTTTAAAGGTTGTCAGTAGGGCTCTATTCTCTACTGCACATAAGGGAAATGTGAATACTGTGGTGAGAAAATCAAACATATCATTCCCCGATTTGGTCTGACTGTGAAAAGCATACCTCAGCAGTATGTTGATTTTAGGGAAGCCTTCCCACTTCTCCCGGCACTCTGGGCACTCATTCTTGTGAGAGGATTCCCACCACAGAGCCAGACAGTGGCGACAAAAGTTATGGCCGCAGGTCAGGGTGGTGGGGTTCACTAAGATGTCATAGCAACAGTGACACGAGAATTCATGCTCTGAGATGTTGGTGGTGGAGGGCTTCGACTGAGGAAAATCTGATAAGTGAGGGGGCTCTTCCATTGATCCAGCCAGAACTTCATCTGATGAATCCCACTCTATCTGGTGCAACATATCCAACTCTGAATAAGAGGGGAAACAAATTTACAAAAGAATAACTAAATGGAGAAAGTGATAAGTTTAAAAAATTAAAATATAGGTAGGTACAGTCTCAAATAGCTTCTCAGAGAAAACTGGCCATTTAAAGTGCCATACCAGTGCACACATTTGATCCTATTTACTACATTTCACATATAATTAGCATCACAACTAATTATTTAGCAAAAAATTCTGTTGTGTTCAAGATATGTGTAATTTCTTTTACAATCGGATATTAGCAAACTTGTGAGTTGTTTAAATCAATCACAGTGAACTTGAAGTCTGCATTAAGTTTATCGCTGCTAGGTAATGCAGTTTAGGGATGCAACTAACAATCATTTTTTTAATATCGATTAAACTATCAATTAAGTTTTCAACTACCCAACTAAGCGCTTGATCTTATCATAATCTACAAAATGTCTAAGAATAGTGGAAACCTTGAAGGTGATGTTTTCACATGTTTTGTTTTGTCTGAACAGTCCAAACCTAGTTTACAATTACATAAAACAGAGAAAAGAACTCTTTACTCTGGAGAGGCTATAGAAGACGGTTGGAATTAATGCTTGATATGTGACTGAAACGATTAATGGTATATTAAAAAAAAGTTGAATTCATTTTCTGTCAATTTACTAATTGAAGAATCGACTAATCATAAGTCTGCACTGCTTTATTCCACAAAGATGATGAAACTTTGACGAACATGTTTGTTTCCTGTGATGGATTTGACAACTCCAGCAAGTTGCAAGCCAGTACCATTTGATTTTCATGCCTTACAGAAATGAATAGAAACCAGTAGATGCCTTGAACTGTAGTACAAAACAAAACCCGAAAATCTAAAACTACACAGAAAGCATTTTAATATGATCAGAATAAATGCATAATGTGCCAGAATTAACCCAAAGGCTATTTTACATCTGCTGTACCTGGGCTAGTGGTAATAGATCACCCTAAAAAGGTTAAAGGATTAAACTATACAGATTTACCCCACTACAGTAAAAATTGAGTACACTAAAAGAAAAAAAGCAGTCTCTCCCCTGCTGCGACTACATCAGGTTCTGCACAGCAACTTTTACATTAACTAAGTTAAACAACATACATACATGAACTAACGTTATGCTAGCTAAACAAAACCACACGTATGGCGTTTTGTTGACTGGCATACTATGTCATTAGGTAAATTGAAGTAATGTTATCGGTAAACAGATTTGTGTAAGTGAATAATAAGCATAACTAGCAGCTATTTACATTAAATTTAAATTCGATTAACGCGTTTTGTTTGGTGTCATGATAGCATTTGGCTAAACAGTTAGCTAACCAGACACTTGTCAGCACCAAACCATGAAAGAGAAAGAAAACGATAACATTAGACACTGACAACTTATATAACTAACTTATTCAGCTACTTTGATAGCAGGTAACGTTAACTTATCACAACCTGATCTGGACATTAGCTGTAACGTTACTCTACAATTGGCTAGCTAACGTTAGTCGTTAGCTACTACTAGCTAGGTCAACAACAACGTTACTGCTCTGCTAACAGTAGACTGATACTACACAAACCAAAGTGCACTATCGTTAGCTGACTCATTTGCTAGTTAGCCCGAAAATGACAGCTACCAGTAAGTACTGTGTTAACTTACTTTGGCGGAACGTAACTGCTCGTGAACGTCATTTATTAACGTTAAACTCAGTTTTACATCGCCTCAGGAATGGCCTTTGACAGGTGACCAGTTGGAGGATGACATAACTAACATTATCTGGTTAACTAACCTACGTCCGCTTATTGTAAATTATCTCTAAGAGACTCCATAAATATTTATGTTCGAGTAGATGTCGCCACGGCGCTACGCTGCTGTGGAAAGCCCCTCGCACACACGGCACGTCAGCGCGTCATGCGGGTACCTGATCACACTTGTCATTGGTCACGCACTCACCTCAGTCAACTTTTTAAGGGTGCCCGCAGATGAAGCAGAAGCAGACAGACAGAAGGTTTCGTTCACTGTAGTCCTCGGTGATGTTGCAAAGCACAGCTGATTTCAGCCATGTGGCTTTTAAAAGCAGCTTCGGTACAAAGTTCAGACCAGATCCAGTCCCTAAAACTTAGGTTCTGGGCTGAAGTGTGAGGTATTCCCGTACACATAATAATAAAACCTTTTCTTCAAATAACCCTTACCCGCAGAGTGAAATGTTAAATTAACTAAAATAATTAAAATAACTTCTCCAGAAATATTCTGGGGATTTAAGTATGGTGTTCCCAGGGGCATATTATTGAAAATCTGCTTCACCTTAACTATTTTCCCCCAGTAAATCATGAACAATCTAGGGAAGTAAATAATGGCCATAAAGATATGAATCTTATGAGCAACTAAATACCTCATGTTGATAATCTGTCACTACCGAATTGAATACTGAGATACAGGTCTAAATGCCCCCCCCCCCCCTAAAACTTTTAAAACCTGTCTGAAAACTCACTTTTATTCCTTGGTTTTTAATGCGTTCTATGTGTTTTTATATATGTTTGATGTTTTATTCCTTGTGCAGCACTTTGTAAACCTGTTTTTTTTTAAATGTGCTAAATAAATAAAAATGGATTGGATACAGTTTGTATCTGCATTGGTATCCCAGATGTTCAAATCTGAATTTTACTTCTTAAATTTTTGTGTCTCAATTTGCCAATTTGAGCAACTGGATTTTTTAAAGATTGAATTTGTAGATCTGAATTATTGAATTTGAGCAATTTAGCAAAAAACTTGGTATCTGAATTGATGAACCCTATACAAAACATACATGAAATAACATTTTTGACATTGCACGACTTGAAATTGAATATTGAAACTTTCCAAGAGGGAAATTCAGACCACATAAATGACGATGGTATTAAATATTCAAAATGGAGTATTGAGTGGTGAATACACTTCTAAATTAGAAATTCAGTTGATTTAAGGCCATTAGTTGCATCCTACTTTACAGAATTGAAAGGATTCATATGAAAATCTTAAAAGGACCAGCTCAAAACTCATGTCAGCACCACGGTCGTAACCTGTGATGAGGGGTAACAAGTAGACATTGCCTCATTTTATAGGCTCACAACCAAAAATGGGCTCACAACTAAAAAATATTGTTGTATAAGGCTTACAAGACCCCTTCTGTGGCAGCTACAGTCTGTGGTATCTTGGCGATGACACGTCGTCTCAGCATTTTTAGGACTAATGCTGTACTGGCCGGTAGGTGGCAGCATGCACCTTTTCAGCTGGTGATCTGCCATCACTCATGGTAACCGCAAAACAAGAAGAAGACGTGGTGGCGCAACACAGTTTAGCTAGCAGAGACTGTAGGGTTCATGACAGCTGCCCTCATCCACAATAACGAAACAACTTAGCTTAATTTTCTGTTCCCCCTGGTTTTCTTATGACATCCTTCAAACCCCGCGACAACATCGCACTATGTTCGAGGTAACGTACACAACTTAGCTGCTATTCGGGCTTTTATTGTACAGCTAACTAGCTAGGTGACATTAGATACAGTTCGTTAGTCTGGTATGCAGATAAATAAGAAGTTAACATTACGGTAACGTAAACGTAACTTACCTTGTTAGGTGTGGGTCGACTAAGGTGACATTGGTTTGGAGATGAATACCGTTCCACTCCTAAGTTACATTTAACAACAGCTAAATTGTCAGAATAGCTTGATTGCTAGCTAGTTAGCCAGTGACGTTCTTTTTAATTAAATTATCTTATCTTGCGTTGCGTTCAGTAACGTAACATTATTGAAGTTATCCAGGGGAATGTTTTTTTTCAGTGCTCCCGAATCACAGACGCCTGTGCCATCCATTAAAGGTGTTCACAGAAACTGTCAGTTTCTTTTAAACATGTTTCCTTATGCGTGATCTCACTAATGTAGGTTAAGCATGTACATGTTTACTTTCTACCAGATACATAACTTAGATAGATATATTCAAATGTGTATATTAGGGTAAACCTCTTGAGATGCACCATCTCGTTTTTGAGGGGGTCCTTAGATAGATAGATAGATAGGGAGGGAGGTAGACAGGTAGAGCGATACACTGAACAAAATTATAAATGCTTTTGTTTTTAGCTTCATTCGTCATGAGCTGAACACAAAGATCTAAGACTTTCTACACAAAATACCTATTTTTCTCAAATATTGTTCACAAATCTGTCAAAATCTGTGTTAGTGAGCACCTCTCCTTTACCGAGATAATCCATCCACCTCACAGATGCATGTAGCATATCAAGATGCTGGTCAGACAGCATGGGTATTGCACAGGTGTGCCTTAGGCTGGCCACAATAAAAATGTGCAGTTCCATCACACAGCACAATGATGTTGAGGGAGCGTGTAATGTATTACTCAGATAGAGATGCTATACAGGTGTGTAGTAATACAGGGATATGAAGTAACTATAATGATAAATAGGCCTACTGAGGTATTGTGTCATTATGAACACTAATGAGCTGGTTTTCATGTGAGAAAATCAAAGTTTGTGATTGTTGGTTATGGGAAGAGTTATTTTCAAATAGGAATACGATTAAGATTCATTGTTGAATAATCTGCCACTTAGTTTGTTCATTGATTCATCATTTAGTCTATAAAATGTCAGAAAATTGTAAGTGTTGTCATGACGTGTTGTAGCAAGAAAAGTTTGGTTTAATGAGATGTAGCCTAACACGCCTAATAAGAAAGTCTCTGAATAACAGAGTAATAATTGAATAATTTTGTATCTAGTAATAACAACAAAATATGTGATAATAATTTTTAAATATCTTGCTAGAACGTGAAAACAATTTTCTCGGTATAACAAGAAATGGTGGCAGCAATATACTGCAATAAATACTATAAAAGTGGGCATAATATTCATTATAATATGTTTTCTAAAGTAAGTTTCAAATGGCTGCAAATTAGTTTTCATGCCATACAGAAAACAATAGACACCAGTGGTTGCCAGTGAAGACAGATAAAATGTATATATATGCCGAATTTTGCATGTCTGCCGAGAATTGTAGGAAAATGCATTAAAGTTCTGCTTTTAAACGCTATACTATTCTTTGTGGGGTTCATCAATAGTGATAAATTATCAGTATATATTTTATGAACGTTAATCGTTAATATATTATTGCACTTAGTAAAAGTACCAATTCTTGAGATTCAGCAAAAACATGTGGCGTTAACCACGTTCAAACAGCAAAGTGTCCTAAAAGGATCTTAAGAAGTGAATTGTATAATTCGGCAAAACAGATATTGTAGGCTGCCTACGGAAATTTGCATCCACCTCGAGGTGTATGCAATTCACGGCAGGCATGCAGAATTCGGCACACCTGCGCTGCAAAATGTCACTAGACCTCGTGGGAGCAAGGCCTGAGTCAAGTCACGGCGTCTGACTTGACAGCGCTGTTTTTGTTCCCCTATCTATCAAGTCGGACATGTACATTAAACAATATTAAATTACACTTTTGCTGTGAGAAGACAGGACTGGCAATGCGGGCAATACATGAGAAATACATGAACACACCCACGTTGTAACAATAGGATATTATTCTGCTGTACTTTTTCAAGCTAAAGATGTAAATATAGTAACCTATATGGTCCTTACTGGGTTTAATTCTATGCATAACAGAATTAAAAAAAACACGTTTCTGAGGTTTGTTTCTAGGTGTCTGTCTTTATTCCTTATTAGGATGCTGAATTCCAAGATCCATTGTCACTGAGTCTAAATGAAAACTATGATGACCAGAATTCGCCACATCATGATTCAAAAAAAGCACCAGCAAGCCCCGACTACAATTGTGAGACGCCAGAGATTCAAGTAATCATTAAAGAAGAGGAGGACGGCTGGACTGTGAGTGAAAATCGTGAGTGTAAAATCTTAAATATCAGCATCACCTTTCTAGATGACGTACACACATTATGTCACTCGATTGTGACTTTTCACATTTTTGTTTTGCCTTGTAATGTTAAACACAGATGACAGCTTCAACTCAGAGGGAAAAAAGGAGGACACTTCCACACACACATGTCATCCCCACCTCCAAGCATGTGGGATGGAGAGCTCCATTTCTCACGGAGTAAAGACACGCCAGAGAGTATATTCGGTGGAGAAATGCTCCGAGGAGTCTGGCGGCCCCACTCTCTCTGGGCAGAGCTCCTCTGCCAGAGAGGGGCGGCAGAGACACATGCTCATGGACTCTGATGAGAAACCTAAGATTTCCTGTAGATGTGGAAAAGCGACGGGAAACGTGATTGTGCATCAGTGCAGTAATACAGTACATGAGATGACCCCCAGTCACAAAAGGAACATGAAATCCCTTCAGAGAGCACATGCAGGGGATGTGTGTTGCACTCAAGACCAGAGCCTTGACGTAAAACAAAGCACATCTGTGACAACAGAAGCAGAACTTCATGAGACCAAAAGATCAGCACCTTGCCAAACAGTATGTAAAATACTTTACTTTATAAATTGTTTTTCTAATCATATAGTAGTGGTTTCATATTATCAGCATCACCTCAAGGACTGAAAACTGAAGTTTCTTGCTTATTTATTGGTTTATGCATTTCTTTAAAATAATGTCACAATGGGACCACTCGTACGAACAGATTTGTGGCATGTACGAGTGATTTAGGTAAAAACAAAATTCTCAAGTGGTCCAGACCTATGAGAAATAAAGGAAGCGTTGTAGCTGCGAGGAAAATTCTTTCACTTCAACATCTTTCTCAGTGTCTTTATGCAAGTCTAGTGTCTTCCTCTATTGAACCGACAGCAGCCTATAATATTCTGTGTCTCCCTGACTGTTATGCTCCCATGGCTGCCTTTCATATTAGGTCCTGAAGCTGATTTAACTTCACATAAACCCTTCCGTCATTATGTCTGTACACAGTAAAGCGCTGATAACACATCCTTGGTAACATTTTCTAATTGTTTAGAAAAGTAGCCGTATATGATATGATCATATCCCACAACTCTGCACCTCCTTATGAACAGGTGACATTAATCAGGCTGAAAGGAGCGATTATGTCCGGTTGAGATAGTTTGGTGAATCTGACATTAAACACTTGAATATGAAAACTTCTTGCATGAGGCCCAGTGACATGATAAACAATAAAACTGCCATTTTTAGATTAGTTTAAGTATCAAACAAAGTGGGATGAGAGATTTTTTGTCACTAGTCATTCCAACTAAATGAGCGAAATGTTCTAATCTGGTGTCTCTACCTATTGGCAGATTAGCTTTGTGGGTAAAGACCCCCAAAAGATGCATTAAATAAACTCCTTGACAATGTGATCTGTATTTAGGATTCTCCTGAACATAAGCCCCCGATGTCACATGGACTCAAGATGGCACCTGCAAACTTAGAGGACCAGACTCTCCATTTGACTGTCAGATTGCACGCAGGGGATGAGGAGGAACAAGAGGAGGAACAAGATGAAGAAATTGGTGGCTTAATCAACTCTGATGGAGAAGTGGTGGAATGGGATGCCAGTAAGTGATTCATAAAAGCATGTTAACGCAAGCAGTACACACACATTTGTTCAAGGGATCACCCTTGTTTCTGTTTCTTGTTTCTGAGTTTTAGAGTTTATTTGATATTTATTATTATTTGATTATTTTAAGTAGCAGACAAATTCACTCACCACCCACTTTATAAGGTACACCTGTTCAATTACTTGTTAACACAAATGGCTAATTAACCAATCACATGGCAGGAACTCAGTGCATTTAGACGCAGCCAAGACAGCCGAGGATCACAATCATGAGGAAATGGGATTAAAGTGACTTTAAACATGGCATGGTTGCTGGTCTGAGTATTTCAGAAACTGCTGATCTACTGGGATTTTCACGCATAACCATCTCTAGGGTTTACAGAGAATGGTCTGAAAAAGAGGAAATATCCAGTGAGCGGTGGTAGTGTGGATAAAAATGCCTTGTTGATGTCAGAGGTCAGAGGAGAATGGGCAGACTGCTTAGAGATGACAAAAAGGCAACAATAACCCAAATAACCACTCGTTACAACCAAGATATGCTGAATACCTTCTCAGAATGCACAACATGTCGAACCTTGAAGCAGATGGGCTACAGCAGCAGAAGACCACACCGGGTGCCACTCCTGTCAGCTGAGAACAGGAAACCGAGGCTACAGAATTGGACAAAAGAAGATTGGAAAAAAGATTGCCTGGTCTAATGAGTCTCTATTTCAGCTGTGACATTCAGATGGTAGGTTCAAAATTTGGAGTAAACAACATGAAAGCATGGATCCATCCTTCCTTATATCAACAGATTCAGGCTGGTGGTGGTGGTGTAATCGTGTGGGGGATATTTTGTTGGCACACGTTTGGCCCCTACCAATTGAGCAATGTTTAAATGCGACAGCCTACATGAGTGTTGTTGCTGACCATGTTCATCCCTTTATGACCACAGTGTACCATCTTCTGATGGCTACTACCAGCAGGATAATGCACCATGTCACAAAGCTCAGATCATCTCAAACTGGTTACTTGAACTTGACAATGAGTTCACTGTACTCCAATACAGTATCCACAGACACCAGATCTCCATCCAATAGAGCACCTTTGGGATGTGGTGGAACGGGAGATTCACATCATGGATGTGCAGCAAACAAATCTGCAGCAACTGTGTGATGCTATCATGTCAATATGGACCAAAGTCTCTGAGGAATGTTTCCAACTCCTTGTTGAAAGTATGCCACAAAGAATTAAGGCAGTTCTCTCATCCAAAAAGGGGTCAAACCCAGTACTAGCAAGGTGTACCTAATAAAGTGGCCGGTGGATGTGTAAGACATTACAAGATCTATTGGGTTGGGAATTGGCAAGTATTTCCAAAACAAGACCTTTTAGCTTTATGAAAATTTTATAGCACCTTAGGTCTTTTGTAATTACACATTTAGTTTATCAGTACATTGACTTTATCCATAACATTTATGTCAGGCCTGAATGCATAAACTACACTTTTAAAGTGATGTTGACAATGTTGAAAATCCCTTGTCCTGTCAGTTATCTCCGAACCTGAGCCCACTATCTTGATTGTTACAGGAGACAGTCCTGACCGGATCTCTAATTGCACAGACAGTCCTCACCGGAGCAAGGTAATTCGTCTTAATTTATAAATTTTGCGTTGCAAAGGCCTTAAGAAGGGCTGTCCTCTTCAAGTCTCTTGAAACCTCTGCGTGCATACAGTGGGGGAAATAAGTATTGAACGCGTCAACATTTTGTTCAGTAAACATGTTTCCAATGAGGCTATTCACATGAAAGTTTCACTAGCCTTTGGTATTAACTCAAGAAATCCACACATATAAAGATATCCAAACATTAAAGACCACAAATAAAGTAATGTGCAATGAAGTAGAATGACACGGGGGGAAAAAAAGGTATTGAACATGCTAAGAGAAAGCAGGTCTCCAAGGTAAGGCAAGGAACCAGCTGCAATCCATTAGTACTTAGGAGGTTTAATTACTTTCTACTATCAGTGCAACGTGATATCAGCTGGGTTAGTAAATTGATGGTCTACGAATAGGCTTTTCGTTATTAAGGTGCCACACAAGAAACATCTTATGATGGGTAAAAGCAAAGAGCTTTCGTTTGCCAACCTTATTGTTACGAAACATATTGATGGAATCGGATACAGACATATTTCAAAACTTCTGAATCTTCCAGTAAACACCATTGGGGCCGTTATCCACAAGTGGAAGCACCATCACTCAGTCATCACCCGGCCACGCACAGGGGCTCCTCGCAAGATTTCTGACCAGGGAGTCAGAATGGTCAGAAGAGTAGCCCAAGACCCACGGACCACTCGGAAAGCGCTCCAAAAACACTTGGAGGCAGCAGGTACCATTTTCACAGAGAAAACAATAGGCAATGCACTCCACTGCCATGGCCTGTATGTACGCTCACCCCACAAGACTCCATTACTAAAGAGAAGGCATGTCGAAGCTCGTTTAAAGTTTGCTACAACTCATTTGCACAAGCCAATGAAATACTGGGAGGTGTAGTCTGGTCAGACGAGAGCAAGTTCGAACTTTTTGGCTGTCCTACTAAACACCGTGTTTGAAGAAGAAATGGCACTACACACCACCCTAAAAACACTATACCAACAGTGAATTTTGGAGGTGAAAGCTTCATGGTGTGGGCATCATGGTACTGGCAGACTTCATATAATTGAAGGAAGAATGAATAGAGCCTTTTACTGGCAGATTATTGACGAGAATCTGCCGGCACCATCCACCAAGATAATGATGATGAGACGTGGGTGGACCTTCCAGCAGGATAATGATCTGAAGCATACAGCAAAGGAAACAATCAATTGGTTACGGAGAAAAAGAATCAAGGTGTTGGAATAGCCCTGTCAATCTTCTGACTTGAATCCAATTTAACATTTGTGGAAAGAGCTAAAGACCAAGGTTCACAAGAGGCCCCCCAGAATCTTCAAGATTTAAAGACAGCATGTTTAGAAGAATGGGCCAAAATCACCCCTGAATACTGCGGCCAATTAATTTCTTCTTAAAGGAGGTGTCTGGAAGCTGTGATTTCAAACAAAGGCTTCTCCACTAAGTATTAAATAAAATTATGTTGGCGTGTTCTTTATATTATATATTCAATACTTTTCCTGTGTCATTCTACTTAATTACACACAACTTTATTTATGGTCTTCAATGTTTGGATTTCTTTATGTGTGGATTGTTTGAGTTAATACCAAAGTGTGGATAGCCAGCCAGCCATCCATCCATCGTCAACCGCTTATCCTGCGTACAGGGTCGCGGGGGGGCTGGAGCCAATCCCAGCTGGCATCGGGCGAAAGGCGGGGTACACCCTGGACAGGTCGCCAGTCCATCACAGTCATGTGGATAGCCCCATTATTTCCCCCCACTATATATAGCATATAATTACACTGCAAGTAATACAATGCAACAGCCTACAGAGTAACAGTAAAGCTGAGCGAATATGTGCCTTGCAAAACCTGAAAATGGAATTTTGTAAAGCAGCTTTACCAGTTTGACATAGTAGAAATATAAGTATTGAATATATATATATAGAATGCCAGAAGTATGATGTGCTTAATTAAATTGTCGTAAGTGTCCCTAAAACCACCTGTCCCTGCAGTGGGTGTCTGCTGAAATTAGTTTCTTGTTTAGGGATGAAGCAGAGTTTAAATTTTATATTTGTTTTCTTGGGATAATGATTTTACTGTCCAAACTGTTTGGAATAGCAGAGTGTAACTTCTGATTTATGGTATATTTCACCTTTTAAACGTTAACATCAAAATGTAATAATGAACCAAAACTTAGTTACCAGAGGTGTGAGTCTTCAGCACCACTGCATCGTAGATAACCAGGCAGGATTACTACTTACCAGTCACCACTTGCCTGCAGTTGCAAGTGCAGCACTATGCTGACCCCACACGGATCAGAAGAAACAACACGTTACTGCCACCGAATAGTTTGGATTACATCCTGTAACTACTACTATAAAAAAGTATATATATCTGCTGTGTTACCCAGGGAGGGTGTGGGGGGTATGTTTCTGATGGTTTTTAATGATTATGATCACAGGGTGTCGTCCTGTCCGAGTCTCAGCTGCAAGGCCAAAACCAGAGAGACAGCAGTAGTCCAACACTCATCATGGAAGTTGTGTCTGTGGGGGAAGATGAAGAAAGGGAAGAAGGGGAGGAAAAAGAGAGAGTAGTAAAGATGGCAGCTGCCTCACCCTTATATCGTGGTAAACGCAAGTCATAAGAAAAATGAACACTGTGGAGGTTGTAAATGAGAGTTATGACTTAGTTCTTTCGTGATGCTTTTGCACACAATGTTACCAGGAAAGAGACAGAGAAGAAGGAAGAAGGTTCCCGAAGTAACAGTGGTGTCATTAAACGTCTCAGACGCAGAGAAAGACGTTCCTGCAAAACCTGGTGAGTGAGGTTATAAATATTCAATATATTGGTTTAAACAATACATGTGGAGGATTCAGAAGTGTCAAGAGTTTGGCGGGTTGTTTTATTCTAAATTATAGAATCCAAATTATATAAGTATGGTAAATATATACTGTATGTAAGTTTTATTTATATATTTTCATATGGTAATATTTTCTGCTGTTCTTTGTCACAAAGCAAAAAGAAGGGGCAGAAGAAAGATTTCAGAAGTTCCACTGTTGTCTGGTGAAGACCTAGAGGCAGAGCCAGGAAGTGAGTGTTCCTCGTAACTTTTATGGTGATTGAATTGATGTTGTTTGCATCTATAAGAATTATTTGGCATTTTATCGTTTTGTTATAATACATGTTACTTTTTATGTTATAGTATCAAGGCGCACCCGAAGAAAGAGAAATGTCCCAATTATAGTGGAATCAGAAGAATTAAACTCAAAACCTGTCCGCCGCGTTGCTGGTAAGACAAAAAGTAGGGTCTGGTATCACTCTTAGTTGATTCTGAAACCAATTCTGCTCGTTAATTCTGGTTAATTTAATGTTATTTGAGCAAGAAAAGAAAAGCAGGTCTACTTAAAGATGTGGACATTTGTGGAGTTTCAGTTTTAAATATTGTACAGTGGAGTGTCAAAATAATTAGTCACTAATGCAATAAACATTTTTGTCTCTTTAACCAGCAAAGCGTCCTTACAGAAGAAGGAAAGATGCCAAACAATCTGCTGAAGGAGGAGAAAGCACGAGTGTTTCTGCTGGTAAGAGCAAATAAAATGCTCCACAAGGGCGTATAACCAGCGCTGTAGGGCAGCTCCAGCTAAGACCATGTTATCCCACGGTTAGCTCAATTTTATAGTGTTGACTGGTAATTTACGGCATAATAAAATTACTTCTGCCATGGCTGCCTGCAGTTAATTAACCCGGTGCAGTGATTTAGAACAATGGATTGACTGTTGACAGGAACTATGACTTTAATGTGCAGCTCTGTCATACAACAGCACTCATTAACACAAACAATCATCATCCTACACATGACGAAGGTTACATGTGTTGGCATGTAGAATGGGCCTGACTATGAACACGCAATCTACATTTTGTTCAACGTGAAGGAGTGAGTTTGAGTTTGTTAAAGTGTTTAATACCTAAAAAGAAAGACAATGTATCTAATAATTATTGTTACAAACAAATGAAGTCTATTAACACAGAATCTGGTTGGTATGTGACTGGAGTCTAAAAGTTCATTTTGTAAGCATTAAAGTAACAGCCTTACCTTGTAAGTTCATCCTCTTTTTTTCCCCCACATAGGGAAGAAGCGTCCTGGCAGAAAGATGGTTCGTGTTCCAACAGAAATACCTCCAGAGCTCCTGAAAAAGCCGAAAGAGAAGATAGAGTACCACTGCTCAGTGTGTGGCAAAGAATTTCCTCATGCCTACAAACTAGAGAGGCACGAGCTGATCCATACAGGAGAGAAACCTTACTGCTGCTCCATCTGTGGTCGGGGTTTCAACCAGAAGGGAAATCTCAAAACACACTACAAAGTCCACTTAGGTGAGACTGGATCATACTTAATCATTTACGGTTACCTCCTAGAATATTTGCACCTCTATTGCTGTCTCTCTCACTGACAGACATTACTAAAGATTTAGTGCCAAATTGCAAAAAAAGTTGTCCTGAGTTTTGTCTTTTTCATGTATGACCTGTATCGTTTTTTTTATCTGCCTAGATTTTTAAAAAAACTATAACTTTAACAATATATACGATTGGTAGCCCATAGACATCAATGACATCAGTCTAGGAGCAGGTAAATTTAACTTCATGTTGTCAGTTGAATAATTAACCTTTTTGCTGCTGCATCATTGTACACAGAGCAATACAGGAAAACCAGAATGGCTTTTTAAACCTAGTCTTGTCATTTTATAACCCAACTGTAGAGTAATGGAAAAGGAAAGTAGAGCCGCGCAACGGAGAGGAAGAAATTTAATTTAACATCTGAAGATTCATCCCAAAACTTCCAACTAAGTCAGCTTGGAAAAGCAAAATTGATTGGAGTACCCAAATATATACTTGGCTTAATGTAAATAATAAGTGGAGTAAAATTGAAGTCTTAAACAATACAAAGATTGTTATATTCGAGTGAACTATTAATACTAGAGTAAAACAGGATCTGTCTCTCCTTTGTCTCTGTGAAGGTCGTAAGGGTGCTGATTTTGACAGTGAGGTGGATCCCATAGCGTCAGAACTGTCTGAATACTTGAAGTCTCTGCCGGGAGAGTCCAGGATCAGATCATCCCTCCGTTGCCTGGAATGTGGAAAAGAATGTGAGAGTCATTCAGCTTTACAAGCACACCACATTACTACACACACCTTGTGAATCAGACGCAGCCGAGCACGGCTCATCACAGCTTCTCTTCTGCCGCCGCTGTGGCATTCAGTTCCATGAAAAAGAAAAGCTAGAAGAACATATGAAAACACACGTGAAGGAGAAGCCCTACTCGTGTCCCGACTGTGGCAAGAGGTTCATCAATGAAAGCTACATACAAATTCACCAACGGATCCATACTGGGGAGAAACCGTTCCTCTGCTCCCAGTGCGGCAGAGGTTTCCACCTGGCCTCCTCTCTCAAGCTGCATGAGATGCAGCACTCCGGGGAGAGGCCGTTCGCATGTTCCATCTGTGGGAAGACGTTTCGGATAAACTCGTACCTGACGGCACATTACCAGACCCACATTAAAGATAGACCTTTCATTTGTGGCGTCTGTGGGAAGGGCTACTCCAGAGCTGAGGAACTGAAGGTGCACCACAGGCTTCACACCGGAGAGAGACCCTACGAGTGTGGGGAATGTGGGAAGAGCTTCATTTACCGCCAGGGTCTGCGGCAGCATCAGCGCACACATGCCGGAAGACGCATCGGGCCAACCAGACAGCTTGGTAGACCGAAGCAAGACGCCAGGCTGGACATCTAACTGTCGATCTATTGGTGCATTTATTTGCTGTTAACTGTGTTTGAAGATATTACAGTAAATTGCGCTTCTTTCCTGTACTTCTTCCTTCCATTCCTCCCACCTACAGCAGAGATGATTACTGTGTCTGAAAACATGCGCTACAAAGTCAGTGTGGGTTGCCAAGAATAATGTGGAAGCTTACTGTGTTGTCTGTCTTGTAATCACGTTTTGTACCCATTTTTTTTTATGTTAACTCTTCTCTAGTAGCCCATCTGTACAATTTGAGTGCCTTTGTATCCTGCATGCCAAATGCTAATATTTAATGTTTAAAAAAGTATGCACTATATACTTGTTATTTTAAAGTCCATGATGATGGAATACAGAAATTTTTCAGAAATGTCTGAGTTTTTTTCTACATTTAAAATAATATATGCTTACATTATGACGTATGTAATCAGACCTATTTCCCCTCTTTTGACAGTTGGTATTATGGTAGTCCAACACATTAAACAAAAACTCTACCTCTCATACATAAACGCCGAAGTTACCGGTTCCTAAAGTAAGAAAACATTCAAAATCGTGTTGGTATCAAGTCTTCATCTGCTGTAGTCTTGAAAAGTCTCAAAGAACAGCACCTGTAGTCAGCTTGAACCACTCCTGCCACTTATTCGCTGTCCATCTGAATACTGAGTATGTTAAAAACAAATTCTCATGTTTTTGCTAAAATATAGCTTAATGCTATGCTTCCATTTGTCGCTTGTGCAGTGAGCCTCTTGTAATGCCTTCAGAAAGTATTTTTTATGTTCTATATTTTATCTTTTACCACAGCCTATTCAGTTAGTCATTTTTGACACTGATCAACTAATAAGAAAAACTACTGTCAAAGTGAAAACAAATCTCTTCAAACGGATACAAATGAAGTATAAAACAAAATAATGGCTGCACTCCCTTATTTTGTTTTATTTACATGTGTAATTTTCACCCATCTTATTGACTAACCAACAGTTTGATCCTTACAGATGAAGTGGTTTTCATATTCACAGGTGATCTCTATGCAACTTGTCACTTCTAAAAACTATCTGCTGTACCATTGCTAATTGAGCTTCATCTCCAGTTGTTAGTTTGTCAATCAGTTGTTTTATTCTGTACTTAATTTGAAGAGATTTGTCTTGTGAAAATGCAATTATTACACTGACTGTGATTCAGTGTTGTCAAACAAAACATATTTAGTATCCATAGTAGTCATATGTTGGTTAAAGTATGAGTGTTTGGAACATACTGAGCACACAGATGGACAGATTTTGCTGCAGGAGCTGTGTCAGAGGCTTCTTATGTTTTTTGAGTTCAGTTGGCATATATTCACGCTGATTGCGGCTGCTGTTCTCTTCAGGAGAAAATTGGCATCTTCTAAAATCTTTCTTTAAGCCATCAGGGTAAGTGTTTGTTCGTTTCACTCCAATTGTGGTTTAATTTCAAAGCTGGTAAATGTATAACAGTGTCATCATTGCAACTACAATAACCTTTTAAGAGATAAACGACACAGCAAAAAAAAATGTATTAAAATAACTCAGGTCAACAACATCAATACCACATAATTACAATAAGTTTGCTTCATCTGTATGATACTTAAACGTTTCCTATTAATTCTTGTCAGCTAATATCAAGGTGTGATCTAGAGGTCACGTTCGCAATTTTGCAACTACAATAATACCTAATAGGAACAATTATACATTATTGTATATTATTATCACAGTTATAATCGATGCCCAGCCATGAAAAATTGCCATCAAGATTACTTAATGAATGCATAATATATGCATTAACATGGAGATTTCGCTGCAGTGTAAAAATCTTTTTATCTTTGTAAAGTGTTATAACAAGATATACACAGTTGTGTATTGGTTAGACAACCAACTTATTTATTTTTAAATATTGCCTATAGTGAATCTAAACATATCTAGTCAAAATTTATTTTTTTATACAAAATGTATATTACCGCGGTGAAATTAGTTTTAAGTTGGATATTCGACAGACATTCACCCAGGATCCAGTGACGGCTTTTTAGTCAGTTCACCCAGTGACGGTTGTATAAGTGCGGTTAGCTCACCTCTGATGGCTCGCTTTTAACCAACGGGGGTTAGCTTAGGGACCATCAATAAATTACAATTGTGAAAACAGTGTTATGGGAAAATCATTATTTATTTCAATAGCTTCCAAGTCATGTGACGCAGGGATTTCAAACCAATGCCGAATTGTAGTACTACACTGGGCAAATGAGACACACCCCTTCATATTTGATTTGAGTGCATTTTTATTTTATATGAATATTTATTCATAATTTATTGAAAAAAGGGCTGTTTTTTTTCAATAGCTTCCAAGTCATGTGACACAGGAACTTCAAACCAATGCCGAATTGTAGTACTACACTGGGCAAATGAGACACACCCCTTCATATTTGATTTGAGTGCATTTTTTATTTTATATGAATATTTATTCATAATTTATTGAAAAAAGGGCTGTTTTTTTTCAATAGCTTCCAAGTCATGTGACACAGGGACTTCAAACCAATGCCGAATTGTAGTACTACACTGGGCAAATGAGACACACCCCTTCATATTTGATTTGAGTGCATATTAAAATTTATATTATATTTATTCATAATTTATTGAAAAAAGGGCTGTTTTTTTTCAATAGCTTCCAAGTCATGTGACACAGGGACTTCAAAACAATGCCGAATTGTAGTACTACACTAGGCAAATGAGACACACCCCTTTATATTTGATTTGAGTGCATTTTTTATTTTATATGAATATTTATTCATAATTTATTGAAAAAAGTGCTGTTTTTTTTCAATAGCTTCCAAGTCATGTGACACAGGGACTTCAAACCAATGCCGAATTGTAGTACTACACTGGGCAAATGAGACACACCCCTTCATATTTGATTTGAGTGCATATTAAAATTTATATTAATATTTATTCATAATTTATTGAAAAAAGGGCTGTTTTTTTTCAATAGCTTCCAAGTCATGTGACACAGGGACTTCAAACCAATGCCGAATTGTAGTACTACACTAGGCAAATGAGACACACCCCTTCATATTTGATTTGAGTGCATATTAAAATTTATATTAATATTTATTCATAATTTATTGAAAAAAGGGCTGTTTTTTTTCAATAGCTTCCAAGTCATGTGACACAGGAACTTCAAACCAATGCCGAATTGTAGTACTACACTGGGCAAATGAGACACACCCCTTCATATTTGATTTGAGTGCATTTTTTATTTTATAATATTTATTCATAATTTATTGAAAAAAGGGCTGTTTTTTTTCAATAGCTTCCAAGTCATGTGACACAGGGACTTCAAACCAATGCCGAATTGTAGTACTACACTGGGCAAATGAGACACACCCCTTCATATTTGATTTGAGTGCATTTTTTATTTTATATGAATATTTATTCATAATTTATTGAAAAAAGGGCTGTTTTTTTTCAATAGCTTCCAAGTCATGTGACACAGGAACTTCAAACCAATGCCGAATTGTAGTACTACACTGGGCAAATGAGACACACCCCTTCATATTTGATTTGAGTGCATTTTTTATTTATATGAATATTTATTCATAATTTATTGAAAAAGGGCTGTTTTTTTTCAATAGCTTCCAAGTCATGTGACACAGGGACTTCAAACCAATGCCGAATTGTAGTACTACACTGGGCAAATGAGACACACCCCTTCATATTTGATTTGAGTGCATATTAAAATTTATATTAATATTTATTCATAATTTATTGAAAAAAGGGCTGTTTTTTTTCAATAGCTTCCAAGTCATGTGACACAGGGACTTCAAAACAATGCCGAATTGTAGTACTACACTAGGCAAATGAGACACACCCCTTTATATTTGATTTGAGTGCATTTTTTATTTTATGAATATTTATTCATAATTTATTGAAAAAAGTGCTGTTTTTTTCAATAGCTTCCAAGTCATGTGACACAGGGACTTCAAACCAATGCCGAATTGTAGTACTACACTGGGCAAATGAGACACACCCCTTCATATTTGATTTGAGTGCATATTAAAATTTATATTAATATTTATTCATAATTTATTGAAAAAAGGGCTGTTTTTTTCAATAGCTTCCAAGTCATGTGACACAGGGACTTCAAACCAATGCCGAATTGTAGTACTACACTAGGCAAATGAGACACACCCCTTCATATTTGATTTGAGTGCATATTAAAATTTATATTAATATTTATTCATAATTTATTGAAAAAAGGGCTGTTTTTTTTCAATAGCTTCCAAGTCATGTGACACAGGAACTTCAAACCAATGCCGAATTGTAGTACTACACTGGGCAAATGAGACACACCCCTTCATATTTGATTTGAGTGCATTTTTTATTTTATATGAATATTTATTCATAATTTATTGAAAAAAGGGCTGTTTTTTTTCAATAGCTTCCAAGTCATGTGACACAGGGACTTCAAACCAATGCCGAATTGTAGTACTACACTGGGCAAATGAGACACACCCCTTCATATTTGATTTGAGTGCATATTAAAATTTATATTAATATTTATTCATAATTTATTGAAAAAAGGGCTGTTTTTTTTCAATAGCTTCCAAGTCATGTGACACAGGAACTTCAAACCAATGCCGAATTGTAGTACTACACTGGGCAAATGAGACACACCCCTTCATATTTGATTTGAGTGCATTTTTTATTTTATATGAATATTTATTCATAATTTATTGAAAAAAGGGCTGTTTTTTTTCAATAGCTTCCAAGTCATGTGACACAGGGACTTCAAACCAATGCCGAATTGTAGTACTACACTAGGCAAATGAGACACACCCCTTCATATTTGATTTGAGTGCATTTTTTATTTATATGAATATTTATTTATATTTTTTCTTCAATAGATTCCATTTCAAATGATTCAGGGACTCAAAACCAATGCCGAATTGTAGTACTACACTGGGCAAATGAGACACACCCCTTCATATTTGATTTGAGTGCATTTTTATTTTATGAATATTTATTCATAATTTATTGAAAAAAGGGCTGTTTTTTTCAATAGCTTCCAAGTCATGTGACACAGGGACTTCAAACCAATGCCGAATTGTAGTACTACACTGGGCAAATGAGACACACCCCTTCATATTTGATTTGAGTGCATATTAAAATTTATATTAATATTTATTCATAATTTATTGAAAAAAGGGCTGTTTTTTTCAATAGCTTCCAAGTCATGTGACACAGGAACTTCAAACCAATGCCGAATTGTAGTACTACACTGGGCAAATGAGACACACCCCTTCATATTTGATTTGAGTGCATTTTTATTTTATATGAATATTATTCATAATTTATTGAAAAAAGGGCT